CAGATCCAGGTCTTGAAGGAAGCCTGTGCGAACATCCTCTCGGGCAAAAGTCGGATCTCGGCCTCCGTGGGGGAGGAGATGGGTTTAGGGCTTAGGGTTTAGGGTTAGGGCCTTGGGTTTAGGGTTAAGGGCTTAAGGGGGCCTTGGGTTTAGGGTTTCGTGTTTAAGGCTTTAGGTTTAGGGCTTCGGGTTTAGGGTTTTGGGCCTTGGATTTAGGGTTTAGGGCTTTGGGTTTAGTGTTCAGGGCTTCGGGTTTGGGGTTTCGGGTTTTGGGCTTGGGTTTAGGGTTTTGGGCTTCGGGTTTGGGGTTTTGGGCTTGGGTTTAGGGTTTAGGGCTTTGGGTTTATGGTTTCGGGGGGAGCTTCTGGTTTCAAGAGGTTGCCCTGCTTGCTTGGGAATGAATGGCTTATGTAGGGTGTTCGGATGGTTTCAGGTTGGTAGGGTTTACAGGTTCTAGTATAGTATAGGGGCCTTAATGAAAACAACAGAGTTCCGTTCAGGGTTCCATGGCGGCTTCCTTAAAGGGTTCTGTACGGGCCAATACAATACAAGGGTTCTATGAGATAGGGGTCTTGATAATTGGAAGAGGGTTCTGGGGCATAGTCACAGTCTATACAAGTGAGGAACCCTGTGGGTAATGTTGGTGATATAGGGATGGAGATAATAACCAATACTGTTTTGGGGATTCCTTATTGTAAACTATAGTATAGTAGACCCCAAAACAGTATTCTAAGTATTAAGGCCCCTAAATTAATTCGTCAGGCTTCTGTATTCGGGCTCCTTAGGAACATTGTCGAAACCCAAACCCTAAACCCCGAAACCCCAAACCCCAAAACCCCTAAACCCGAAACCCCGAAGCCCTAAACCCCAAACCCTAAAACCCCTAAACCCCAAACCCCTAAACTTTAAGCCCCAAGAGCTTCATAAATGGTGATATATATATATATATATATATATGTGTATGTATATATATATATATATATATATATATATATTCTCGTACTCATGGCCCAATGCCTCGCAGCTCGAGGTTTGGTGATGAGGGTTTAGGGTTTATATAGGGGTGTAGGGTTTAGGTATCAGGATTTAGGGTTTAGGATTTTCGGTTTAGGGTTTAGGGTGTAGGGGCAGGCAGCGGGAGTCAATCTCCCGGGACCTGTTGCCAACATTCTCGCCGTTGCACGAGGGTGCAACAGCCTGCACAGCAGGTGATCCCCCAGCCTGCGGTCCTTCGAGGAGTCGCACCTGGCGTTGCAGGTCATCCAGGGCTTGGCTCAAGCTCTGGAGGCTAGTGGCATCTCCCGCCTTCGCCCACTCGAAGAGTGGCACATGTCCGTGAGATCGTTTGCGACTATTTGTCGAGCGGCAAACAAGGCGCAGCTGCTTACCTTGGTTAGTAGGGAATGGAGGAATGAGGTACAATCATAACTACCATTACTACCAGTCTTCCGTTCCCTACAAACCAAAGGTACGGCTGGTGACCAACAACCCTAAACCCTAAACCCCTAAACCCTAAATCCCTAAACCCCTAAACCCCAAACCCCTAAACCCCTAAACCCTAAACCCCTGAACCCCTAAACCCTGAACCAACAGCTGTTGGAAGCCAGCAGGTCTCGGGGAGGGACGCCCGGTGTGGAGGCTTGTGGCTGGTGTCTTAGGCAAAGACCCGAGCAGGTCGGCCTTGGCTAACCCCGAGGTTGCAAAGGACCCAATAATCCTATAAACCCTTAACCCTAAACTCTAACCCCCCAAGAGCCAACAATGCTAAACCCTCAACTCTAAACCCCAAGCCCATATCCCTAAACCCGAAGGGCCCTCCTAGCATATAACCCCAAGGGTCCAAAGGACCCAATAATCAGGTACTTGGGTTTAGGATAGTAGTTATGTAGGTTACTATTTGGGAGAGTATATGATGATTAGGTACTTGGACCCTGTAGGGTAAGCTCTATATATCCGACTCCCTAAGCTCTCTAAGCCATCATGATGTCCACGGCATAAATCCTAAGCGTCCTAAACCCTAAATTTTAGGATAACTCAAAACCCTGCAGATCCTGACATTTAGGATAGCCCACTATATGAGTACATAATCTTTATCTTCGTATTCCTGGATTGGGGGCTTGGGTTTGAGGGCTTAAGGCTCTTGGGCTTCAGGGTTAGGATGTACAGTTTACTATATTTCCGTAAATAGGCCATATTAAGTCCGTATTATGGGTATTAAGACCCCTTACCCCCCCTCCCCCCTCTCCCTACCCCCCTAAGGGTCCTTATGAGTTTAGGGATGCAGTATGGTTTATGGGGGGAACCCAGCCTTAAGGACCCTAAAGTTGAGAGACCTGAGCCTGAAGACGTTTACAGGACCCGAAGTCTTTTGCGTTTAGAGTTTTGGGTTTAGGGTTTAGGGTTTAGGGTTTAGGGTTTAGGGTTTAGGGTTTAGGGTTTAGAGTTTAGGGTTTAGGGTTTAGGGTTTAGAGTTTAGGGACTTGGGAGGAGCTGGAGCAAGGACATCCGAAGAAGGATTCCAAAACGACGTTCACGGAGAGGCACCTCTTTGTGAGCTTTCTTGGTAGGGTTTAAGGTCTAGGGTCTTAACCCGGAATATCCTACCGGTTTAAGGACTTATCTAAATAAAATCATAGTAAGGAACCCTAAAAAGGTAGGTGAATTTTGGGGGGTAGGGGGTTTTCATGGAAGTTGGCCGAGCTTCTTTGCAGGATGCATGTTGCATCTCGGATCGGCGCTTTTGTTTGCGCTCTGAGTTGGGGGTCCTGCAATAGAGGCCTACTAGGTTTTTGGGTTCCATCTACAAGGGCTACCACAAGGGCTATTATAAGGATGTAGTAGAGGGGCCTATAAATAGTTACCAATACTATTTTGAGGGTTCCCTTGTTGTAGTTATAGTATAATGGGGCCCAAAATCCTATTCTATTTATGAAGGCCCCTTGTATTTATACTCCCCTTATAGTACCCGAATAGTAACCCTTACAGTATCCCGTTAAGGAACCCTTTGAAAGGAACCCTAGTCTCCTCTATGTGAACCTTCGCTTGCAAGGTTTAGGAAGCCCAGAGACTCCAATATCCCTTCATTAAGGAATATTCCTTAAATTATGGTAGGATCCTTTATATGATTTAAGGTATATTCCTTAATTAAGGGATATTCCTTAAATTATGGTAGGATCCTTTATATGATTTAAGGTATATTCCTTAATTAAGGGATATTCGAGTCTCTGGGAGGCCTAAGCTGCTGACCCTCTCATACCCAGAGACCCCACCATACCAAGGAAACCTTGAGGCTGGGGTACCCCTAAACCCCAAACCCTAAACCCGTAAACCCTAAACCGTAAACCCTAAACCCCTAAACCGGGTATGAGAGTATTCGGAGGAGGTTCAAAGGTCAGTTTCACTACTCGAATCAAATCTCACTCAAACCTGGGCCGCCCTGCGCATTGAGAAGTTCTAAACCAGAAACCTGTGTTCAGTACGGTACGGGTTTGTCTTCCAGGGTCAATTTTGAGCGCAGCCCACACATCGGCATGAGGGTGTGCATTCAGTGTGCTGGGCAGCTGCAGAGACGTACTCATAGACCATGGTGATGATTGCTACTGCTGCTGCTGCTGCGACCACTGCTGGCAATGATAACTACTGTTTTCCACTGGCTGCTACTACTACTACTACTACTACTACTACTGCTACTGCTACTACTACTGCTACTGCTACTGCTACTGCTACTGCTACTACTACTGCTACTGCTACTACTACTACTACTACTACTACTACTACTACTACTACTACTACTACTACTACTACTACTACTACTACTACTACTACTACTACTACTACTACTACTACTACTACTACTACTACTACTACTACTACTACTACTACTACTACTACTACTACTACTACTACTACTACTACTACTACTACTACTACTACTACTGCTGCTGCTGCTGCTGCTGCTGCTGCTGCTGCTGCTGCTGCTGCTGCTGCTTCAAACCAGCAGCATAGCTGTAGCCCGTGCATCCATAGTACACTGCGGACCCTACGGCTTTGGAATGTTTTTGCAGCGGCTGTCGGGCTTTTTGGTGCACTATGTCAAGTATGCTTGCGTGACTTAGGAAGTCAAAAACGAGGTTCCAAGCAGGGGCTCTGATTGCGACGAGGCGCTTGTTCCTTTGGTACGACTATTTCTGCTGCCCACAGAAGTCGATGGCGGCCGATGCGAAGCTTGCAATTGCAGCCCGGCGTGGTGGGCTGTTCTGGGGTTTTTCCCATGCCAACCCAGACGCTGCAATAACCCCTAACCTGGCATGAAGACTAGGGGGGCCTGAGTGTAAAGAGCAGGCTAGACATTCTATCATCCAGCAGTGATGTAGCTCATTGTAATCTTCTTGACCTTTGTTGCCATCGACACCTGTCTTTCTTCTTGTTCTTGAACTGTTACTACGACCACTCTTGCTGCCATGCCTCGATCGTCCTACGGCTGCAAGTGCGAGAGGACTAGGTGGTACTAGGTCGTGGTCACACCGGCACTTGTACCATTCCTGCAACATCGATACGACCACAGCAACTGCCACCACCGATGCTGCTGCCACCGCCACGGCTATCACAGCAGCAGCAAGATGAATAATAACAACAACAACAACAACAACAACAACAACAACAACAACAACAACAACAACAACAACAACAACAACAACAACAACAACAACAACCACAACCAGAAACACCAGCAACCAACACAACACCGACGCCGACACCCACAACGACACCGACACCACCACCACCGACACCACCACCACCACCACCACCACCACCACCACCACCACCACCACCACCGCCACCACCACCACCACCGCCACCACCACAACCACAACAGCGACAGCAACAAGTCTGATGAGAGTAGTGGTTAATCGTGATTGAAGTTGCATCTATCTGAAGCCAAGGACAGCATACCGACGTACATCTCTCGCTGTGAGCTCTTCGTAATCCTGTGCCCTGAAATGGAGCATGCAGACAGGTGCTCGGAGGGAGACGTAGGGTTAGGCCTAAGATTCAGGCTTCAAGGGTTGGGGTGCTTTCGGATTTATGCATCAGGATTTAGGAGGGTGTAGCTTTGGGCTCGGGGCTTAAGGCTTGGGAGGCTAAATCCAGAACCCTGTAGCTCAAGGCTTATGGCCACTCTGCTTCTGTTTCAACCCCCGCAGTTCCAGCAGTGCCAGCTCCCACATCTTTGAGTCTAGAACCCTAGTTAAAACGTAAGAGCCTAAACCTTTAACCTTTAACTATACACTCTTTGTTGGATGGTTTCATCGACGCGGAGTCAAGAAGACCGGTCTCGACGTTTCTGCAGCTGAGCCGACCCCGACCACAAGGGTAAGCCTCACACGGAAAGCGCCCTTTATCCAACGTATCACAGGCACCCGGTCAGGTGCGGTTCTAGAGATGTTGCGCAACAGAGTCGTCCGTCCAAACACCGCCTGTAGTCCTCATCCACTTCTCAAGCCTCAACATATGCTGCGACTGTGGCTTCTCGGAGGCCGTCCAGACGTTCGCAAGTCCATGTGCCGAGCCATGATGCCTAGGACCTAGAGTAGGCCCTTATTCCCTTTCGCTAGGGTTCAGGTTCCCTTATACGCCCCTTTAAACCAGAAAGGTGCCCTTTTTATTCCTAGGTTACTCCCTTTTCACGTCCCTGGGTTCTCTCATCCTGCCCCATTGCATGAGGATGTTGTTGTTTGCCACGTTATGCTGAATCTCCTCCCCCCTTAACCCTAAAACCCTAAGACCCTAAAACCAAAACCCCAAAACCCTCGAACCCTAGAACCTTCAACCCCAAGCCCTAAACCCTACACCCCAAACTTTCAAGACCGTCTGGGCCTAAATCCTCGAGCTCTACACTTCGAACGCCTTGAACACTGCGACCTACACGGACCTGCAGCCCCTCGAATGCTGAAAACTGAATCATGCACCCGGAATCGCAAACCGCTCCAGCTCTAACGACGTGGCTCCCATCAATAATCAGAGAGAGCTACGCATAGAGTAGATGTCAAAGAAGCTCGAATCCGAACCTTAATGTCCTCAATCAAGCCCCGTAACCTCTCTAAGCGGTAGACACCGGCATTCTCGAAACCCGTAAGTGAACCCCAGAACAAAAGGGAACATGGGTCTGGGATGATTGGTTCTAGGATTCCGCATGCACCACCATCAAGGGCATGAGGATTCTGATGTTCCTCGAACCCCCAAACCCTAGACCCCAAATATTCCCAAGCTCTAAACGCTTGAGCCTGAACCCCAATACCCTAAACCCTAAAACCTAAACCCATAAATCCTAAACCCCAAACCCTAAACCCTAAACCCATAAATCCTAAACCCCTAAACCCTAAACCCTAAACCCAAACGTTCGAATCTCGCCAGGGCACTCGGCACGGATTTGTCAACCTGGTCTGAGCGCGGCTGGTGCCGCATGGCCCCTTGGCCGGTCCAGGGGTTTCGTTTAGGGTTTAGGGTTTAGGGTTTACAGTTTAGGGTTTAGAGTTTAGGGTTTAGGGATTAGGGATTAGGGTTTAGGGATTAGGGTTTAGGGATTAGGGTTTAGGGATTAGGGATTAGGGTTTAGGGTTTAGAGTTTAGGGTTTAGAGTTTAGGGATTAGGGTTTAGGGTTTAGGGATCCCTAAGGCTCCATGTACCCATATAGTATATACTTAGGCCTTAAAGTACCCATATAGGGACCCCTTTAAGGCCTAAGTATCTACTATAAAGGTACATGGAGCCTTTGGGGATTAGGGTTTAGGGATTAGGGTTTAGGGTCTCGGGATGAGGGTGTAGGGTTTAGCGTTTAGCGATTAGGGTTTAGGGTGTGTCACAGTGCCACGGCGCGCCCCACCCATGGAGTGGTCGTGGGTCGCGCCGTCTTCGTAACGTGGAACCCACCCACAACCACCCGAAGCAGGACTAGAACGGGTTTTGTGTTCTGCTTCTTCTTATTCGAGTGCTGCACTAGCCGAAAAGACGTTGCAATGTTGCGGAACGTCAAAGGGACATCCGAGTGATGTAGTCACAAAATAGCAGCGACGCCCTCGCTCGTCCTCTCCGGCCGCCAGAGTCGTCCGTCAGCCGTCGTCAGAGTCGTCCGTCAGGGCCCAGTGCCAGGCCTCCAGAAGTGGTCTGCAGCCGTCCGCTGTCCGTGCCAGTCCGGCCAAGAGTGCTGATCATCCAGTCGGCCGCCAGTTCGCCCGGCAGTCCGTGCCAGAATTGTCCAGCTTTGCCGCAGGACGTCCCGTCCCCGTCAAACTATAGTCGTCAGCCGCCAGAGACGTGAAACGGACATTTCCGCCTCGCCCGCCGTCCCCGCCAGGGGTCGTCCGCCGTCCTCCAGAATCGTCTGCCAAGCTGTTTTTGGCCTTTTTAGTTGCTGTCAAAGCCAAGTGCCCGCCAGAGTGTCCGCCGTCCCCGTTAGGGTTGCCCGCCGTCCGCGCCAGGGCCGTCCGTCTGCCAAACTGTTTTTGGCCTTTTCGTGCCTGTCAAAGTCATCGCCAAGTCCCCACCAGAGTTGTCCGCCGTCCCCGCAGGGTCACCCGCCGTCCCGTCCGCCATCCCTCCAGAGTCGTCTGCCAAGCTGCTTTTTCAGTCCTTGTCAGAGTCGCCAATTCCCCGCCAGAGTCCTCCAGGGTCGCCCGCCGTCCCCGCCAGGGTCGTCCGCCGTCCCCCTCCAGAGTCGTCTGCCAAGCTGTTTTTGGCCTTTTTAATTGCTGTCACAGCAGAGTCGTCCGCCGTCCCCGCCAGGGTTGGCCGTTGTCCTCGCCAGGGTCGCACAAACGTCCGTCCACCAAGTCCCCGCCAGGGTCGTCCCCGCCAGGGGCTCGCCATCCCCGCCAGGGTCGTTCGTCAAGCTCTTTCCACCAGGTCCCGTCCCCGCCAGGGTTCTCGCGCTGGGAGATAAGGCGCCATCCCCTCCAGAGTCTGCCAAGCTGTTTTTGGCTTTTTCAGTCCCTGTCAGAGTCGCCAAGTCGCCAGAGTCGTCCGCCGTCCCCGCCAGGTCGCCCGCCGTCCCCGCCAGGGTCGTCCGCCGTCCCCCTCCAGAGTCGTCTGCCAAGCTGTTTTTGGCCCTTTTGCTGTCACAGCAGAGTCGTCCGCCGTCCCGCCAGGCCCCCCGCCAGGGTCGCGCGCCGTCCCCGCCAAAGTCGTCCGTCCACCAAGTCCCCGCCAGGGTCGTCAGCCGTCCCCGCCAGAGTCGCCCGCCATACCCGCCAGGGTCGCTCGTCAAGCTCTTTCTACCAGGTCCCGTCCCCGCCAGGGTTCTCGCGCTGGGAGATAAGGGTACCCAATTTTACTATTGTGCCCCATGGCTCGCAGTGCCAAATCAGGTCTGGTAGACTCGATCTGCTTGGCCAAGCAAGCAGATCTCGAAGCGGTAGCGTTCAGTGGTACCGGCCGCCGCCGGGCGCGGGCGGCCAATGGTTTAGGGATTTACGGATTTACGGATTTCGAGTTTGGGCTTTAGGGCCGTTTTGGGTGCAAGGTTTCGGGGTTTCTGTGGAATATAGTGTATGACGTACAGTAAGTTTGACACAATATGCAATAGTAGCATGCACTATGATATAATGATGGAAAGCTTTTGGGGTTGAGGGTCTAGGATTTTGGCCAAGTTATGGCATATTGTTGGCTCATGCTTTGAGGTGTTTCGGGGATCCAAGTCGAAGTTTGGAAAGGTTTATGAGTTTGGACCACACACATCTGGAAGTGCAACCGAAACATACTTTAGGGACCTTCATAATTAGAATAGGGTTTTGGGGGATGTTATACTATAAGTATAGTAAGGAACCCCCAAAATAGTATATCCGCATGAGCTACAGTCAAGAGTTGGGGTTTTCGGGCCATGCAAAAAAGGGATATAAGTGCCTTTGTAGGAATCTTCTTATCGGCCTATTCAGGCCTCCTTTTGACCCGGCCCGTGTTGATGGAGTTGCTCACTTTGTCCTACTGGAGTTGCTGAACATGGCAGAGGACCCTAAATCAGTAGGTTCACTCAGAATATCCCTTCAGGATCCCCCCCCAGAGGCCCAAATTCGCATACGACCCTTACCCCTGACACCAGAAGAAGTTCCTACCTTGGCAAGAGTATACTTACCACAAAATCGCACTCTCATTGTCAGTGCGAGTATGAGATATGATTGATTAAGGAAACCACCTACGACTATTCGCATGATAGGTATTGCGACTATTGACCTTGTCAACTTTACGGTTGCCATTGCTATTATTAATTTTCCTCGTCTTATGGTTTCTTTATTTCCAAGGACAGAAAGCTATACAACTCGGACCGGCAGTGCGAACAGTTAATTGTGTAATAAAGTACGTGATTAATTCATTAATCCTCGACCTCTCCACCATTTACCAGTCCAGGGGCGTAATCCCTAAAATTCATTGGCTCGTGCGGGTAGTTGCCACAACTATGGTCCCTGCTTGGGTGCCCTAAATACTAGGTGCCCAGGTTCGGTATTACATTAAGGGCCCCAGAAGGGACCATAATTTTGACAACCACCCGTGTGAAGGAACGCATGGCACGGGAACTCTCCTCCGGCAACAGCAACATGAGACTTGGCTCGCAGACGGTAACGATTTTTATAAGGCCCGCAACTCGCACCCCGCACGTTCATGTTCACAGTTTCTCGGCTTCGTTGCGTAGCAGGTTTCATGGTTAAGCTGCAGAGTCAGGGTATCCGGGGTGTAGTCTTCATTCTAGGTTCTGTTCAGAATTCAGGCGCCCAGGGTTAAAGGGAACTCCAGAAAGTTGGAATATGGATTAATGGTAGGATCCCCTATACTTTACTTTGAAGGGGTTACGATAATGATATTCCAACTTTCTGGCTTCTATTGTAGGTGATTCTTTCATGACTTTCATGTCCTTATTTATGGATTTCGGTTTAGTATACAGGGTTGTGGCTTGTAAGTTGGTTCGGTCTGGGTCCTTGGGGCCAGGGTGTGAGGGTGTAGAATTTATGACTTGGAGCTTTCTGGCTCGGAGCTTGTAGCTGGGAATGGGGGAATAGGTTATGGGGACTATTATTGGGGGGTTTTTATGGGGACTACTATAAGGATCCATTCCTGAATTCCCTACTAAGCACCAGGGATTCTTCAGGGGAGTTCTGTCTGTGTGTGTGTGTGTGTCTGTGCGGTTTGCAGTTCAGGCCTTATGCCTGTGGCGAAGATGTCATGATACCTTGCTGAGCCGCCTATCGTGATGGATTACTAACTAGCAGTACTGTTTCTTAGCTCTTCGGCAGGGTCTTATTGGGTAGACTAGGTAGGGCTTCGGGACATGACATATTTGCTCCTATTGGGTTTAAGAGGATCTTACCTACTAATCAAAGGCTTTAGAAAGCACCTCCTAGTTGAACTTAAGTCCCTGGTTTGGGTTGTCGCTTTCGATGTAGGCTTGAGCGTTTCAGCCGCTTCAGTTGGAAGGCGCCACTGAGCCCTAAACCCTAAGCCCCAAAACTCCGACATCCCAAACCGCGAGCTTTAGCCCCAGCCAGGGTTTAGGGTTTTGGGATTAGGGTTTAGGGTTTGAATGAAAGATTTAATTTTCTTTCGGTTATTATAGTTTCGTAGTAATCAGAAACCTTTAGTCTTTCATGTCGGCAGCTTATTCGGGGAAGAGAGTATGTTCCCTAAACCTTAAATCCCCAAACCCTAAACCCCAACCCCCCCCCCCCAACATGCCCCAGACCCTATAGACCCTAAACCCTAGTCGAAAAAGGGCCGTTCAAAAACAAGAACTAAACCCAAATAAATTGCCTTAGACCCTATAGATCCTAAACCCTAGTCCAAAAAAGGCCGTCCAGAAAAAAAACAAATCCTAACCCCTAAGAAATTGCCTTAGACCCTAGATCCTAAACCCTTGAGCCAGAGAGAGAAAGCCAAGGATCTCCATCGAGAGCCCGTCGCTTCAGACGTATGAGCCGGCATGGCAGGCCAGGGTTTAGGGTTTAGGGATTGGGTTTAGGGTACACAGGGTCTAGAGTCTAGGGTTTAGGGTTTAGGGTTTAGCAGGGTCTAGGGTTAAGGGAACACTCAACAACCTACCTGTCTAGGGCTCTGATCAGGATTTCCTGGTGTAAGTTCTTGAAAGGATGGCTTATGGGCAGGGCAGGAGACCGGGATTGAGTGAGGCCTTAACTCCAAAAGAAACTGAACTCTTCTTAGGGGTACTTAGAAATAGTTTTTAATTTTTGGTTATTATAATCCCTAAGAAACCTCTGAAATTATAATCTTTGCTAGTCTGCTAGTCTTATCAGCCAGCAACCCCTTCAAGATACTGAATTAACGAGACCTTCCACGACACAAGCTCTGCAGGGTCTGGACAACCAGATGCTTCATACGACAAGCTTTAACCGGGCCACCCCCCTCCCCTCCAAAAAAAGAAGCAACGTCACCATGTCGCACGGAAGCAGGAAAATGCAAGAACGATCCTTAAGTCTTGCCCGCAACCCCACAAGCATAGTAGGCTAAAGCTATAAGTTAAGTTGTAATAGTAAGATCGAACCACTCATGCAGAACCCCAAGCCCCCCTAAACCCTAAACCTCGAAAAGCGTGCAGGCTGCCTTCTTCCCACCGGGCGAGGGGCGGTTCTCTTCTCAAGGAGATCGAGTCAAGGCAACGTTTCCAACCTTTGGAGTCTAGGACCGAGAGTAGGCCGTTATTCCCTTTCGTTAGGGTTCAGGTTCCCTTGTAAACTCCTTTAAACCCAAAAAGGTACCCTGTTTATTCCTAGGTTACTCTTGGGCCCAGGAGTTGCACTGTTTTCTCAAGGGTTGTTTTGGGAAGCTTAACGTTTAGGTTGTTTATTTGGGGTATCACGTGGTTTGGGTAAGTTGAGGGTTTATGATTTCTGTGAAGCTTTCTGAAGTCCATCTTGGTATCTTGCATTTTGTTGCAACGTGTTCCCGGAATTTCCTTATGGTTGCAGAAGTGTTTTGGTGCTGTTCTTCTCCCGGTCTTTTTTGTGTAGCAGTTTAGGGTTTGAATTTGGATGGTTGTCAAAATTATGGTCCTTTGTTGGGTCCCTATTACAGTACGGCACCTAACCCACAGAGTACCCAAAAAGGGACCCTAATCTTGAGAACCACCCATTTGGGTGGTCAGGATTCGCAACTTGCCCCAAAGGGTCCGATGTACTGTTATGGGGACTACTTCCCCAAATCATAATAGTAAGTCCTAATATAGAAACCCTACATTCTACCATATCGGTACTTTGGACCCTTTGGGTGCATGCTTCAGGCAGGGTGTTAGCAGTTTAGTGAGGGCTCTAGACGGGTTCTAGAAACGCTGTTTTGGTGCTTTGGGAGTTTAGCCTTTGTCTTCTCCAGGCCAGGGTTTCGGGCTCAAGGCCTTTAGAGCTTAGAGTTCAGGGTTTAAGGTTTAGGGTTTTGAGTTTAGGGTTTAAGGTCTGGGGCTTACGGATTAGGGTGGTTGGTTCTCCGTTGTTCATATGTCCATCCTGCGAGGGTACCTGTATCCCCAAACCCTACAAAATAGTGGGTTATGACCCCTTAATTATAGGGTCTAACCCCTAAAACAGTAGGTTTTTGGATCCCCAGGTACAGACAAGCGGAGTCGTTTGGCAGCTGAAGAACTTGTTTCAGCCTCTGCGGACCCCGCCTTGGTTTTCTATGGCCACGAGAGATGCCCTATATGGGAGTTTTCGAAATTAAGGGAAATAAAGGTACCCTAATTAGTAGGATCCTTATTATAAGGACCCCAAAGTAAGGTATCCTTAAATTTCGGAAACTCCCATATTGCTGGACCCGCCGCAGCAGCAGCAGCCGGCAGAAGCGGCGCATTTCCTCCAGCAGATGCGTCAGCAGGAGGCGGTCATGCAGCAACAGTGGCAGCAGAGAGCTCTCTCTCTCTCTCTCTCTCTCTCTCTCTGGTTAGGTTAATCAGGACGTATACTGAATCAAGAAGTATTCCTTTTGGTGTAGTCGGTTCCTATGCTGGTTTCAGATAATTCGTTCAGCAACGGGTTTCTGGATCAGAGTTTGGAGTATCTGGGCAGACCTGGCGGCACTCTACACGACCCAGCTGCAGCACTTCTATAAGGGGTCCTTGTAGGGTACCCTGAGACTCCAATATCCCCTGATTAAGGAATATACCTTAAATTATAGTAGGCTCCTCCATATTTAGGGAATATTCCTTAATTAAGGGATATTGGAGTCTCGGGGAAGGGCAGAAGGTTCTTGAGCGGCTCTACAGCGATTCTCCAGGCTTTAGTTGTATAGGAGCTTAAGCTTCGGACTGCCCTTTGTAGGAGTACCCTCAGACACAGTGCACCTTGCAGTGAAGGCCTTAGAGGGTTCCTAAGAAGGGATTGGGCTTCGATGTAGAGCACACCCTGCGTGATCACAAGTCCTTGAAAGCGCAGGCCAAATTAGGGGTTTCCGAAAACTAGGGGACTCTAATATGGTACCCTAAATAGTAGGATCCTCATTATAAGAATAAGAACCCCAAAATAAGGTACCTTTTTTTTTGGGAAGCTCCCAAATTCGGGCTTTTGACCTAGAAGCCACTGGAAGCCCGTCCCTCGCAGGTCGCAGCCATTTTAAAGCAGCTCTTTGCTGCCAAGCTGTTCGATTGCCTTGCGAAGGAGCAGGGCCCGTTGCTTACTACAGGGACCTATATGGGTGGTTGTCAAAATTATGGTCCCTTTTTGTGTACCCTAAATATTAGGTGCCGTATTATAATAAGGACCCAAAAAGGGACCCTAATTTTGACAGCCACCCATATAATTACTTATCCTATTTTAGCAGGCTCCTTATGAAAATTATGGTATAGCCTTATTGTGATTATTAAGGCTCCTATATTATACTACCCTTATAGTACCCTTATAGTACAGTATCCCTTAAAGGAACCCTTTAAAGTAACCCCTATTCTATAAGAGATTTGCAAGGGTTTGGGAGTTTCCGAAATTCAGGGATACCTGGATTTGGGGCCCTTATACTAAGGATCCTACTATTTAGGGTACAAAATGAGGGTCCCCGATTTTCGGAAAGTCTCATTCGATTTTCGGTGGGATAGCCCAACCACATTGGCTTCCTGAAGGAGGAGATTCTGGGATGTCGCAGCTTATCGTTCTTCTTAAGGTGGTGTACTCGGTTTCCCGATTAAGCCCAAACTCCTATCCGCACTTTTCAGCCTAACCTTGAACCTTAAGCCTCCCTCTGAGGTCTTATTTTGAAGCAGCCCGATATGGCAGTTTAGAGGTTGAGGGCCTATTTAGGGTTCAGGGGTCTATGGCTTTATTTAGGGTTTAGGGGAGGGCATAGAGCCTGTTGTGGGGCTTCAGGGGGTATTTAGGGCTTGGGGTTTAGGGATTCAGGGTTTAGGATTTAGGGTTAGGGGATATTCAGGGTTTGGGGTTTAGGGATTTAGGGTTTAGGGTTTAGGGTTAGGGGGTATTTAGGGCTTGGGGTTTAGGGGTTTAGGATTTAGGAAACCGTTTCCGAGTGCCGTATAATTGGTTCGGTGGGTCTGGGGACACCTAACTAGAGCCATCACCAGGTCTAGGGCAATGGACAGGTTTCGGGTTTAATATAAGGTTAACGGTTGAGGGTTTAGGGGTTCACCGAAACAACACCTGCATATTCAGCGACTTAATTCCTCCCCCAGCCTTGAACCTAAACCCTGCCCCCCCACCTGGACCCTAAAGAACCTACCTGTTTGCTTAGGTTCTTCGGGGTTCAGGCACACCCGGAACCCCAAACGGTGAGCCCCCTGGGCTCTGGTTGCGACAGAACATGGAGAAAAGCGATAGTTGAAGCCGAACGCACATGCACCGGCCATAGTGTAGACATGTGACACTCCCGTTCACAGCAACAAGCATTATGCATGAACCCCAGTCAACACTGATCGAACCTTATGTTCGAACTAAACCCAAACGTCGGAAAGAAGACTGATCCGGACCATCCGAAGGGGGGACGTAGAGCAGTGACTAAGTACCAGCGACTTATCCTACCACAGGGGCGGTAGTCCACAGACTCGTTTTTTGCTGTATGACACTCTAGGTACATAGGGACACACTGAGGGATGATTCTTGTAGGAGCTATTCAAGCCCCCATATTGCCTCCTACCTTGTTTTAGAAACCCTAAACCCCACACCCTGAACTCGTATGAGCAAATCGTAAGAAGGAGCACAATAGCTGTAGTTTTGCAAGTAAACTGCAGGGTCTAGGGCCTGGAATTAGAGGATCCTTCCCGTTTCGGATTGGAGGTACATGGTTTAGGGTTTCCTCGAGCCAAACCCTACTCGAAGTAGTTAGTATAAGGGGCTTAATAATTAGAACGGGGTTTTGGGGCCCATGATGCATGGTCATATTAAGGACCCTCCCCCCAAAATAGGTAATTATTTAGGCCCCTGTGGGAGCTTTAGCCCTTCCCAGTTTACTTTCAGTATTCTGCACTTGTGACGGTTGCAGGAGGACCTATCTTCGTACCGCTTCTGGCTGAGCCTTTGGCATCGGATCCGAGCGTAAAACCTTTGCATGTCTTTCCAGGGTTCCCAGAGACTCCAATATCCTTTAATTCAGGAATATACCTTAAGTTATAGGAAGATCCCTAATATGCTTGAAGGTATATTCCTTAATTAAGGCATACTATAGTAAGATCCCTAACATGATTTAAGGCATATTCCTTAATTTTTGGCATGTTATAGTAAGATCCCTAGTGAGATTGAAGGTATATTCCTTAATTAAGGCATATTATAATAAGATCCCTAGTATGGTGTGAGGTATATTCCTTAATTAAGGCACAAAAGATAAAGATCCCTAACATGATTAGAGGTATACTCCTTAATTAAGGCATATCTATATATATATATATATATATATATACATATATATATATATATGTAGATATATGTATAGTAAGATCCCCAGTATGATTGAAGGTATATTCCTTAACTAAGCCGTATTATAGTAAGATCCCTAGTATGGTGTGAGGTATATTCCTGAATTAACGCATATTATAGTAAGATCCCTAACATGATTTGAGGTATATTCCGTAATTCAGGGGCATGTTGTCTGGGGGTTTGCGAAGTCTGAGCATCTCTTGAGGGCCTGCAGCCCGAAGCTATATGGGTGGTTGTCAAAATTAGGGTCCCTTAAATTGGGTACCCTCAATATTGGGTTCCGTATTATAATACGGACCCAAAGCGGGACCCTAATTTTGACAACCACCCATATATATATATATATATATATATATCAGTCGTTATGCCGAGAGACCTCATTAAAGTCGTGCTAGGGTCTCCCCTTAACCCTACGTGTGTGTGTGTGTGTGTGTGTCTGTGTGTTTTTCTGAGCCACCCTAAACCCTAAACTTAAACCTTAAACCCTGAACCTAGATCCCCACGCCCTAAACCCTGAGCCGTCTAAACCTTAAACCCTGAACCTTAAACCCTACGCCCTAAACCCTGTGCCGTCCTGGAAATCTTGCGACACTAAGGAACCAGCAAAGGATGCGCTTCAGCGGCTTCGACATTCCCGACAGCGAGGCCTTCGGTTTTTGAATGCAATGTAGGGTTCAGGTGTAATTAGGGTTTAAGGTTTTAGGGTTTGGAGTTAAGGTTTAGGGTTTAGGGTTGAAGATTTAGTCTAATTTACGGTGCTGAGGGCTTCAAGGTTTGGGGAGTTCCGTCTAGTGCTTAGTTCCATAGGGTGCAGCCCCTCGTCGCTACTTTTGAATGTGTAAGGGTTCTTCCTACCAGAACCCAGCACCCAATGGGTAGTCGTCAAAATCATGGCCCCTTTTCGCCCCTTGTTGGATACCCTACATATTCGGTGAAGCATTATACTCAGTACCCAAAAAGGGACCATAATATTGACAACTACCTAGACCCCCAAAAAAGTAGCTAAAATTATGGCCCAAAACCTATAAAAGTACATACTTTTGGGGTCCAGGTATAGCCCCAATACCGAACCATTGCATCCAAAACTTTGACCCTCGATCGAATGTTTTGTCGTTTGGGAGTTTCCGAAAAATTAGGGGTACCATATTTTGGGTCCTTGTGATAAAGATCCTACTGTTTAGGGGACTATATTGGGGTCCCCTATTTTCAGAACCTCCCATTTAGTCTTTGTGGTGCGCCAAAGCAATGTATTTCACCATGGATTCGACGTCCCTGGCGAGTTGTGGGAAAATCGCGATTTGCAGCGGTGCCCCGCTTCACCGGCCGTCTGAAAGCATGTGCATCGTACCACTGGGGGTTTTTCATCACACCAGCCGATATTCCTGTACATCTTCATTGTTGTCTTTATCTTAAACTACATGACTGGCCCAACCTTCATCTGTTCATTCGTCGCCCACTTCCGCTTCGCAATGCTCTTCTGCGGCAGCATCGTCGTCGTCAAGGCTGCGTAAAGTGTCGTACTACAACTCAAACCCCAAATCTATGTGATCAGGCCGGGTTCCATGACATAGGTGCCCTTGCAACTAGCATAATGAGGGTTTTGGGGCGTCGTATGCTATATTTGCAATAGAAATCCGATCAGACAGGATGTCTATTTGGGAGTTTCCGAAAATAGTAGGGGACCCTAATATAGTACCCTAAATAGTAGGATCCTTATCACGTATGGGTACCCCGAATTGTCGGAAACTCCCATTGTTGCTGGGGCCGATGATCTGCCGGGATATTTCTTGAATCGTCATAGGGTAGCGTCCGAGTTGCAGGGATGCTCTCAAGGCTTTTGGTTGGCTCCGAGTTCAGTTTTGGCAGTTCATGTGTATACTTATATATATATATATATATATGTATATATATATATATATATATATAGAGAGAGAGAGAGGCTAATTGTAAGGCAGTCTAAAGCTTATCTCTACATACTTACATCAACCCTCCGAGAGCCCTTTAATGAATCCTCCATGGAACCCTGCTTGGAACCGTATTCTTACGACTGTTAAGGGGTCTTGCAGTCTCTGGAGACCCCTTGTGTGGTTGGGGTTCAGGATTTAGTGTCTTCCATCATAGGTCGCCGCCGTGTTGAAGCGGCTGATTGCTGCCAAGCTTGTCCAGTGCCAGGAGCAGGAGCTGCGATTGGGATGTGTTGACATGTTTTGTGGGTAGTTCTTTGGGGTTGCAGGCGTCAGGGTCTGGAATATGTGGGGTCTCATAGGGATTGAGAATTAGAGGCAGAGTGAATGCAAGAGCCGAACATTGCAAGCCCTGATTCTGAAGCCTAGAACCTAAACCCTGAACCCTATGCAAACCCTAGTTCCTACACCCTTCAGGACCTGAAGGGTTTCTCTAAACCTTTCTGTATACCTGAAGGGCCCCCAAGGAAACCTCTTATGGAGGAGCTTCGGGCTCGTTAAGGGATACTACCGCTGATGGCAAAAATGATGGATTTCCGAAACTAGGGGACCCCAATATAGTACCCTAAATAGTAGGATCCTTACTATAAGGACCCCAAAATATGGTACCCTAAGTTATATGCTATTCACCTGGAGCCTGGAAACTTAAACCCAGCAGCCGACACGCCAAGCCTTTGACCTCAAAGTCCACCGGACTGCAACCCGCCGAGAAGAAGAATCAAGGGCGAAGTATGTACCAACATTGCTTCTGAAGGTTCCTTCTTGCAGTTATGTATACGATGAGACACCCCGCAAACCCAATTATGCTCAATTGTTGCTGTCTCTTACCTGAAAGCCATCTCTGCATGACCTGCTGGCATTGGAAAGCTGCTTAGGTCTTTGCAAGCCAAGCAAAGTTCCACACCCTAAACCCTAAACCCCCTGGATCCTCGACCCTAAACCCCACACCAGCGGCCCTTGCAGGAAGACTCGGTTGCCTACCGCTTCTGGTTGAGCCTTTGGCATTGGATCCTAGTGCAGGGTGTCGTTAAGGGTTTGCAGCCCCTGAACATATAGGTCTTAACGGTACATCACCAAGTGATATTGTTAAAAAATTTATTCCCTAAACCGTAGCTTAACCCCGAAAGACTTTAACCCTTAAGTGCAAAACCCGGGCCCAAAACCCAACACTGTAAACTCTATAGGCGCCAATAGTGACCTTGTCCTAGCCGCGGTTGCAGAAGCATCTGGTTGTCGGATTTGGGATTTGAGGTTTACCAGAACGAGGCCTGCATAATCACCATCTGTGACTAAGAGCTCTAAACCCTAAACCCTTAAAGCCTAAACCCGAACAAGCCGTCGCGACAAAGAGCTCTATGCCCTAAACCCTTAAACCCTTATAGCCTAAACCCCTAAACCCTTAAAGCCTTAAAGCCTGAACCCCCAAACCCTAAACCGTAAACCCTAAACCCCCAAACCCTTAGCCCCTAAACCTGAGAAGGGGAACCCTTTCCTGCCATATCGGGCACAGGATCTGGAGCAGCTGAAGCTAAATCCTAGGAGCAATTTTGGTCTTCGAAGGGCCTTACTAGTTACCAGAACTATTTGGAATAACAAAGGCTTCCTTTGTAAAGGGTCTATAGGGGCTACTATAAGGGAGCTGTAAGGGTAATCTAGTATAGCCTTTGAAAACTCCGGGTGGGGAGAAGCAGAAGCCAGCTGCAAAGAGCAAGACGAAGGCGCCACCTCTGGACTTCGACCGGACGGTGGAAGCGGTCCCGAGAGACCCACGGTTCTCGAAGCCACCCTGCAATTCGAGGCACAAGCCGGCTCCCTTCGGCAAGGAGTCCCCTCGCGTGGTCGGCTTTTAGCGTTCTGACTGTTCAGCGCCGGGCCGAGACACCGACCAGGCGATGAAGGCCGAGCTGCCGGAGATCTCCATCGAGAACCTGAAGGACAAGGACACTAGTTTGGTACTACAGGGAGCTCAATGCTTGCCTATAAAAGGGGCCTACACAGGGTTCCTGCAAAGGGTGCTATAAGGGATATTATAAGGGGCTTAAAATAATTTCCAACACCGTTTTGGGGGTTCCTTTTTACAATTATGGTATAAAGGGCGCCAAAACCCAATTGTACTTACTATACCTATATTAATACGTCCGGCGGTGTTAAGTAACTGGGTATTCCTTGGGAGTGGCTTCTTATTTAGCGTATGGCATAATCTCAGTAAGCCTTCCTACCTAAAAGGGCCATTATGGTTAGGACCGGTTATATATGGAAATGTAGATACCCCACAAAAGGGGGTAGGGTATGACCCTGTGCTAGGCAACCCCGAAGTACTAGCGAAAACATGGGTTTGATGTCGCGCCCCAGGACTGGCAGCTCAATCTCGAGGCATAACCCTAAGTTCGGAAGCCTACCGTTTAGGATTTAGGGTTTGGGGTATAATATCGGGGCCTAAATCATGACCTACATCATTTTGGGTGTTCCTTATTATCGCTATAGTATAATGGGCACCGAAACCCTATTCTAATTGTCATTGGAGTCTCTGGTGGTTTCTCCTAAAGAAGTTGAGTCACCTGAAACCTGCTTACTCAGCCCCTGATCCTCTGAGGGGCGAGCAGCTCTGCGTGGGCTTCAGTATTGGGGCTTCCTTTAAAGGGTTCCTTTCCGGGATACCATAAGGGTACCGTAAGGGTACTACAAGGGCTTTGGGGTTTGGGGTTTTAGCCTGAGGTGCTTTGGGTTTTACTTTTTACGGTTTCAAAACCCGAAACTTTACCGTAAATCCCCAGGTCTCAGAATCTGCAACTTCCAGAGCCATCAGAAAACCCGCAACCTTGTGCCACCTGGTTTTTTGTTTGTTATTCGTGATGAACTTCCGGATCCGTTACGAAAGTATAAAACTTGAAACATTTACATATTTGGCACTAGGGGTTCCTTGTTACGGCTATGGTTTTCAAGTTTCAGGAACGGCTTGTTGACAATGAGATGTTTCTTGTGGGTCTCAGGGCTTGAAGCCAAGGAACCAGCAGCAGATGCGCTTCGACACAAAGGGCATCGAGGCCGCAGGTTTTTTAGGCCGCAGGTATTTTCAGTCCAGGTCCCGACATCCGCAGATGCTAAAACACCTCAAGGGCCCAAAAAGCTTGCCAGTGTTCCGTACCATACCTTCCTTGCATGTTTCCTGAGAGGGTAAGTTTTTAGGTCTACAGGTAGGGTTTAGATCAGGGGTTCAAGGCTTTATGGTATAGGGGCCAGGGTGTAAGATTTCGGTTCGAAATCCACGGCTTTCTAATTTGTGCTCGACGTCATGTCGGCAATCTTGCTATAGTAACGTTAACAAGCCTACTTTAACAAGCTAGAATCTGCTACAATAGACTGCAGTACCACTGTATACTTTAATAATCCAAATACAAGGCCTTATATTATACAAGGAACTCATATGAAGGAGCACCAAAAGGTAGGTTTCAGAAGGTCCAGGCATTGGCTAGACCAGCTTTTACAATGCTTTGGTGACTGGTTTTTGTGGTTCAGGGGGGCTTGCGGGTTTCTGGTTGGGGGTTTCCTGAAGTGTTTTACGGAGTAGACGGCGCATCATTAGAAGGAGGCCCCCCCCCCCACTTCCCTAGAGCTCCCGTACTGTACACCCCCAATATCAGCTCTGCATCCTAAAGCAAGTTATGGAGCCCTATAGAACCCGTTGAGAGGAGAAGTTCGGGGAAGACGAGAAGGAAGCTGCTGTTCTGGCCAGGTGCGCATGTGGTTTTCGACGGTTCGTGATGAAATTGTAGAAGAATAATCTACCTGTTTCAGGGCGTATGTCAAAAAGACATCATATTAGGGCAGCCTAAAAAGGTAGGTTTTTCGGGTCCAGGTAGGGTTTAGGGCGGTTTAGGCCGTTTCGGGTCTGACGATTTAGGTTGTATATGGGGTTTCGCGCTCCGGAGTTCTGGGACTCTACTGCCATGGCCCCTCAAAACTTCTTGGGTTTCACCATTGTTAGAAGCAAGCCCGGCTAGTTAAACCGAGGCTCATTTGGGATGCTTTTGAGGCTCCTGCAAGGATCGGCAACCTGCTCCTGGGAGTTTTTGCCTCTCGAGACCAGTAATGGCTTCGCAGAAAAGAAGCTGAAAAAAAAAACGAGGCTCATTTTAGGGTTTAGGGTTTAGGGTAGGCCCTCACAGATCTGAGACAACATCCCCCAAACTTAAGCCGAGCAGTTCCGACAAACCAGAGACCCCGAGCAGCGAAATCGGAATACCGAAACGGTTTACGGTTCAGGATTGTAGGTTTCAGCCTTTCGGTGTCTAGGGTTCAGGGGTTTAGAGTTTACGGGGTTTAGGGAATCGGAATACCGAAACTTGCCATGCGGGGCCTGGGAGTTTAGTAATGCTGTTGTTGACAGCTCTGTGCCGTGGCATCCACATGGCCAGGCATATTGTAACCCTAGGACCACTATTACTAAGTATGCGGATCCCCGTGCTACAGTCGCCGGGGTTGCTCACGAGCACGATTTTTTGGGGTGTGGGAGTCATAGGCCCAGACGATGACGGGGAAGCTACTGCATCTTCTAACACAGGGGCCTCAATACGTCACAATAATCGACCGATTGAGTGCCTCTATAACTCTACTACAGCTGTTAGGTATTTTGGGTATTGGAATCTAATTTCAAGTTTTCGGGTTCAGGTTTTAGGGCTTGCCATCTCCTGACATCCCGGGTTGGGAGGCAAGCAAGAGATTCCTTTTTTCGGGGGAGATCCTTCTAAAGGTAACCATAGCCGAAGAAGTGCACAAACTAAACAACTATCCAAGAGCCCCGCTTATGGCGCCCCTATAGAAGGTCCCTTTGAAAGGGAGCACTAAGAACCTTACACCTTCGCCTGGTCTAAGCTCTTCGGCGCGAGAGCCCTGTCTTGGGACTGTCTGTGATATCCCTAAGGGCGACCTACTTTTGAGGGTTCCTATGAGGCTTCTGGACGGGCTTTATGGCTTCAGGGTTGAATGGTCCGTGTACCGAGATATATATTGTACTTGGGCCCCAGAGTACCTACATACAGGGACTACTCTAAGCCCAAAGTCTATACTAGTACTATATGATGCATCGACACTTACGGTAGGACCGTAATTAGGAAACTGGATCGTAGCGTCGGCGCATGTCCTGACCCTTTAGTCCTAAAGCCCTCAAGACCCAAGCCCCAACCCCCCTTTGAACGCCCACAAGAGCTGCTTAGGTTTCTGAACGAGAACAGCTTCACACATGCGACCGACCCTGGGCAACTGTTGCTGGGGTACTTAAAGGCTCATACGACCTAGCAAGTAGGTTATATGTGCCCCAATTCAGAATATCTATCCTACTTACAACCCGAAACCCTCAAGCCCTAAACCTTTAAACCCAAAACCCTAAACCCAAAACCCTAAACCCCAAACCCTAAACCGCTTTACTCTACTTGCCGAGTCCCGTCCGCCAAGTACGGTGCTATTCTTCAGGGGATGCGAGTGCAAGGCCCCCTCTACCCCCTGGGGTTTTGTTTCTTTGCCTTAAACTAGGGTTTAGGGTTTAGGGTTTGGGGTTTACTTTGTAGGTTCCTATGAAAAACCTTAATATGGAATTTATAGGGACCCTACAAAAAAGTAGGTTTTGGTTTATAAGGTGTTTACCAAACCGAAACCCACACCCTCAGTTTTAGAGTCTCTCGGTTCTTATTGCTGGGTTTCTACAAGTCTTCCAGGCTGAAGGGCGCGGGGAATTTCGCAGGATGCGTCAGAGCCTCTCTGAAGAGCGTTTAGGGTTTAGGTTAGCAAGAATCGTGGGCTCGGCTTAGAGAGCTCTGTCGGTTTTTCAGAGTTTCGTTTCCAGGTTTTACAATAGAGTAATTACAGACGTATATCTATATCCATGTTTATATGTTGTACACATCTACCTACCTACCTACCTAGCTAGCTCGCTAGCTACATACATACATACATACATACATGTGTAGATGCGTATGCGTATCTGTGTTCAGTTACCTGCGCATTAGTGATTATGGTGTATGTGCATGGCAGCATTTTGGTGTTTGGGTAGGTTTGGGTTTCTGGCCCTGTACGCAACAAGTTTCAAGGGCATTTGAGTTTGCAAGTAAGTAGGCATTCTTGTGCTCGTTTCATGTATAGCCTGAAACTCCAAAGTCATGAAAACCTACAGCTGGAACCCTGTGGGCCCTTGATGTTTTAACCTTGCATTCAGCACAGAAGAAGAATCGGAGGCCTGAACAAGCCACACACCATCAAGGGGACCCTCTCCCGAAACCTCTTGATGCGCCCTAAACCCTACAAGCCTTCGAGGAACGTGATGCGGCTGGTTGGTCCCCACTATGCTATGCCGCAATGAACCTCGCCTTCGCAATTTGGAGCTCCTGCAGGGGTTGAAGGGTTCTCGAAAGGTTTCTTCAACAAGTTCTATACGGACTTCGGGCTTAAGGCTGTTTACAAAGGCTCTCGTTCGAGCTCGAAGCCAAAAGCAGAATCCCTAATTCTCAGCTCAAGAAAAACTCGGAAGGAGTAAGCCCTTCACCCACAACCCTGAACCCCTGAACCCGAAACCCCTGGACTCCTTGGCCTTGAATTAAAAGTAAAAGCCACAGGTCCTCACTCTTAATTAGCTCTCTGGGTTTAGAGTGCAAGGGTTTGAGGTTTGCGGAGCCCTAAAACCCTAACCCTGAAAACAGAACGATAGAGTCTGTGGTTTGGGGTTTAACTGAAGCCCATGAACCTGCAAGGACCCTTATGACACTGTACAGGAACCCTAAAAGAACCCTTATAAAGAACCTCCCTTAACGGAACCCGAAAAAGGAACCCTTATAGACCCAACCCTGAGCGGAACCCTTATAGATCCCTTAAAGGATCCCTGAAAGAAACCCTTATAAACCCCCTGAACCCAAAACCCAAAACCCTAAAGGATCCTTATAAAAGAAAGCCCTAAAGGACCCCTTAAAGGAGCCCAACATGAAACCCTTAAAGGGCCCTTTAAAGGACCCCTTAAAGGAACCCTAGAAGAAACCCTTAAAGGACCAATACAGGCCCCTTAAAGGAACCCTTATAGAGTCTATATATATATATATATATATGTATATATATATATATATATATAGAAGCCCCTTAAAGAAACCCTTAAAGGACCCCTTAAAGGAATGGTGATCCTCTGTTGGTGTCGGCGCTCCTTTCGGCCTGTGCTGATGCCAACGATCGGATCACGAAGGCTGCGTTTGCTTTTTTGTTTTTTTAGGGTTTAGGACTTAGGGTTTAGGGTTTAGGGTTTAGGACTTAGGGTTTAGGGGTTTAGGTTTAGGGGTTTTAGGGTTTAGGGTTTAGGGTTTAGGGGTTTTAGGGTTTAGGGGTTTTAGGGGGGCTGGTGGTGAGGGTGTGAGCTTTGGGTTTATAGTGGGTCAGGTTTTCAGGTTTGGGTTTAGGGTCAGTGTCGAGTTGAGTTTTGGGTTGAGGGTTCTTCATCTACGGTCAGGTTCGAAACTCTAAACCCTAAAACCTAAACCCTAAACCCGTTCTTGCTTGTTTTGGTTTGGTGGGCGGCTTGGCCTGCAGTGGATAAGACCCCAAACCCTGCAGAATTCGGGGGCTCGGGTCTTGTGGATTTTATACCTTAGCCTACCAAAACCTACTTTTGTGTAGGGTCCCTACAAGTTCCATATTGGGGCTGACAATAGGAACCTGCAAGAAAGTAGGTTTTTGCAGCTGAAGGTAGCATTCAGGGATGGAAGTTTAGGGTTTAGGGTCCTAAACCCTAAACCCTAAACCCCTAAACCCTAAACCCTAGGACGCGTTTGGGGCATTTCTTTCGGTACGACCTTCGCGCCTTTGGAGCTTGGGATTGGGAGTGTAGGGCCAGCGAGGCTTTGCCTTAAGCATTTGGGGAGTTTGGGGTTGCAAGGTTGTAGGGCCAGCGAGGCTTTGCCTTAAGCATTTGCGGAGTTTGGGGTTGCAAGGTTTAGGGTTTAGGCTCCAGTTTAGGGTTTAGGGTTTAGGGTTCAGGGTTTAGGGTTTTTGGGTTTTGGGGTTGCAGGGTTTAGGGATGTGGGGGTTTAAGGGTGTAAGGTTCAAGGTGGGTTTAGGGTTGCTTTAAGGGATTCTTGAAGGGTTCCTTTAAGGGGATCTATAGGGGTTTAGAGTTTGGGGTTTAGGTTTTAGGGGCTTAGGGTTCCGGGTCCGGGGTTTCGTTCCTTAGGGTCGCGAAGTGATGCAGCAGAGTAGCTCGCGGCCGCAGCTCTTCCATGCATCATCACGTCTAAGGGTCCAAGTACCTGATAGTCATACTCTCCGAAATACTAGCCGACATAGCCATTATCCTAATTCCGAGTACGGAAATTTGGGGTCCTTTGGGCCCGTAGGGTAAATGCTGCTGATTATGTTTATTCCACGGCTCATGCTGTTGCAATGGGGGGGGCTGCTAAATGAGAGGACCTCAAGCCCTAAGCCCTAAACCACCTCGCTCTATGTATTCTGGAGCCATGCACAGCCTTGAAGTTTCAGCGAAACTGAGACTTCGTACCCTCCCGAAGCACCAAACTCTGAACCCACACCCCTCATCCCCGACATAGAGCGCCCCCCTAAACCCTAAAACCCCTAAACCCTAAACCCCTAAACCCTAAAACCCGTAAACCCTAAACCCCTAAACCCTAAAACCCCTAAACCCTAAACCCTTAAACCCTAAACCCCTACACCGAAACCCTAAACCCCAAACCCTAAACCAAGCCTCTATGATGGCATGCTTACCGGCCATCAGAGCTCTATTGAGGTTACCTCCGCCGTCGTGGTTTTTCGAGCCCAGAGCCCTAAACCGTTCTGGGGCTTTAAGGTTTTAGGGTTCAGGGCTTAGGGTTAGGGGCCTTATTTATTACCTACACAGTTTTGGAGGTTGCTAATTATAGAGAGTGTAAGACATTACGGGCCCCATATTTTCCAGTCAAAATGCTGTTTTCTATGAGTTTTCATTACAAAAACTTGCAATCGTTATAGTTTGCATACTAGTGGTTTTCCAGCTTACTTAACCCTGTTGCTCTTGATGCCTGATATGGGAAGTCCTTTCCCAATCAGCATGGGATGCACTTGTGATTACCTTTCATTGTGGATTCTCATGAAGACTATCCGATAAATCAATGCCACATCAATCTTGTGGTTGTTCTTTGTGTCTCATAGTATAATCTTGCAGATAAATGAAGTATAATGCGTCTGCGAAACCGTGCATTTCTCCACCCTTGAATGATGTACAAGACCGGTCAACCTATATAACTTTTGCATATCGACGTCAAGAATCGCTTACATGTCCCACCGTTTTTTGCAGGCCTCATCATGTGCATGGTAGCATATGATTTTGGATATAGACGTCCAGCATATACTGTAGCATGACAAGTTGGGTTTGGCATCACACAGGCAGGTTGCTCAAACAGTTCCCACCGTCTCAAGATATATACATGCAGGTGATCAACTGGATCGTGTTACTGGATCCATTTGCATATGTACATATATACATGTATGTACATATATGTCTTTGCTACATTCAGTTTCGATACTGTTTTTCGTATGAATGCTAGCTTGTTTGGTGCAACCTCCTTCAAAGGCGTATTTACTGTTTGCGATTATTATTGCATTGGTTGTCCTTGTTTCGGAGCTCCCAGTCCAATAATTTGTCCAGTATTTGGAGCTGTGTGTGCGGAATTGTGTATGTCAATTGCAACAGCTTCTCATAGAAGCCAACCCAGATAACTGAAAACCTACGACCTTCAAAGACAATCATCGCACGGATGTTGCTGTATACATCCTGACAGCTACAATGCTGGCTTATCCAGATTAGTGATCATTGCGGCTGAAGCCCACAAGCCCCCAAAGGATAAGGATATAATTGAGTTAATATACTTTTCAAGGAGATGGTGCTTTGCTATCATTATTGTATATGCAGACATATGGAGATCCACCTGCGATATTAATCATTTTCGCTGTCTTGTTGCTCATACCATCTAGTCATAGGTTGACTGCCGTGAAAACACATAAACATACAGCGACACGCACATACGATTGTCATCAGCTGTAAACAAAACCGCTTGTTATATCTATGCTGCAGGCAATACACCTGTATGCCGCAACCATTCTAATATGGTCTTGTTAAAGCCCATGACGCAGTTCATCGTGTGTCTTATGGATATCTCCGTAAACTAAATCCTGTTACCCAGGAAGAAGTATAAGAACTATACTATGCCCTAAAACCAACTTTTTAAAATGTGACATGATCAAGAAGTCAAGTATCTCTTGTGGTGGAAGCAAACATGGCAGATTATATTGGCAGCTGCATGCCAGTTTTGGCAAGAGTAATGGAGCCGTCATAATGAGGCACCCAACGGGCAGTTGAACAGGATATTCGCCGCATTCCTTCAATGTAAAAGGCATGTTATGTGTTGAATATGGCCATATCATCATAGAGCACCAGGAAATCTCTTCAACATATCATTATGATATTGAGCCATCCGTATAGACCATCGCAGTAGGTGTTCTTATAAGATGCCCGCATCGTTCGGGCTTCCCCATTTACGTCTTCCGGCCGCGCGGGCAAGCGGGATTGCACCACATATTGGTTAAACCGCTCGGTAGACCTTTCTAAAAGCCCGGAGACCTATTCTCACACATAAACCCAATCTGGCATGAAGTTATAACAGTCACAGCTAGGAATGAATAGGTTGCAAGATGCAGGCAGCATCTCATCACACATATCTTCTCTATGAGATTTGACTTAGATGTCCTTCTGCATCCCGTGAGCTTGCCAAGCTTGTATGGCATCTCCGTAGCACCTCATGTTACATGTTTACGGTGTGTTACGCCATATCATACTATGATGCACATGGTTCACGTGAAGATTGATACTTCACCATGACGTGCTCATGAGATATATTGTTTCCATATCTAGCCAGTTTTGGAATAATGATATACAGATTCCTGCGAGTAGCCGATCCTGATCACGGGAACATAAATCAATAAGGATTTCCAGTTGTAAACTCCCCGACAGAGCCCACCATGTTGCTCGAACATCGCACAAGTGGAATATTCAAACTCCCGTTTTCATGCACCTATAAGATAGTTGGATTCGGATCCCTTACATCGCAACCTGCCAATGAAAGGCGAAGACAGTGTTTGTTGTATATGTTATCGAGGAGACTGCTCATACATGTATCTGACATCCGACATATATACCGACCATATGTCCTCGCATATGCTACCACATCATATGCGACGTCAAACATTGTTGTTATCGCTTGACTACGACAGACCCTTCAACAGGTTGTCCACCTGGCATTGCTCAGGAGGTGGTTGTGTCGTGAGTTCGCATCCGTCGAATGTATGTTAATGCAAGGTCTCCTCGTCATATGATGTTGTGCCAGTCATAAATAGTTTGTCATCTTTGTGAGCTGTAATCTCCGATATCTAATTTTCTATACGCAGTAAGTCTCTGAGGTCTTTTATAGATTCTATAGATGTTTATCTGGTTAGTATGTAATCTTATTGATCTTAATATTCGGCATACAGTATCTACTCACTTGTAGTGAGGCTTGCATGGGCTAAGGACACCAGGTTTATTGAATCATGTGGCTCTTGGTTGGTGTCCGCTCCTGCAGTATGGCGCACTATGGCGTTGGCTGTCGCTTGCTGTCCCCGGGGAGGGGGAGTTTTTGATTTTCGATGTTTTTTTTATTTTTGCGCTGCCCCCCCCTCCATATTTTGTTTTTTTTTGCCCCCCCCCTCTCCCCCCCCCGCCATCCCCTTAGTAGCAGTGTTCTCGCCCTTAGGGCCTGAACCAGCCAAGAAGTGAGTCAAACTTCTTGCTCTATAGTCATGTCGACAGTTGAAACAAAAACTTTGGACATGTGATAACCATTGTTGTTTGTGCACATGTATGGGTATACGTACATGTATCCTATTTAAGAATATGCATATGAGGATAACCATATCGTGTGCACGAGTGATGTTGCTTCAAATCTGAAGCAAACCAAAAACATGAAAAACAGTAATGCTGTAAATATGGGGCCCGTAATGTCTTATTTTCTGTAATTATAATTACGGCATAATGGCCTTAAACCCTATTCTACTTAGTAAGGCCCCTATAGCAGGGTTTCAACTTGAACACTGAGCCCCTTAGAAGCCCCTGCAACGCAGCCTGGCCCTCTACCAAAGTTACGCTGCGTCTGCCACGGCTCACCGAAGCAACCCTGTAGAACCCTGGTAAAACGCTTATAGAAAACCTTCGCAAGTGTGAAACCCTTATGGAAGCCCCGATAACCGTAGGGATCAAAATAGCCCAAAAGCCTTATATAGTATGGTCTATGGGCCCAAAGGCCTTAATACATGAGTCCTTAGATCCCTAGGGTAACAGAAGCATAGAGCTCCTATGCAGCTGCAGGCCCTAAAGTCCTCAACGGCACATTCCTGCGCTGAAACCCCAAGGCCCCAACGACGAAACCCCAAAAAAAACCCAAACCCCCAAACCCGAAACCCTAAGCCCCAAACCCTAAACCCGAAGCCTAAGCCGAAGCAGCAAACCTTACCCAGAGGGTCCATATACACTACCATTATGGAAGTAGGTCCCCAAAACCATCATAGGGATGGTCTTTTCGGACCTAATTCCTTAATGGTAGTGTATATGGACCCTCTGGGTTAAGAACCCTAAAAACTACCTGAACCCCATTCCCCATTTCAAACCCCTAAGCCCTAAACCCTACATTTCAAAACCCACTAACGCGGAACCCTGGACCCTAATTTCCCCACCCAAACTCTCAAAGCCCTAAGCCCCAAACTTCTAAACCCTCAACCCTAAACCCTAAAGCCCCAAACTCCTAAACCCTCAACCCAAAACCCTAAAGCCCCAAACTCTAAACCCTCAACCCTAAACCCTAAAGCCCCAAACTCCTAAACCCTCAACCCAAAACCCTAAAGCCCCAAACTCCTAAACCCTCAACCCTAAACCCTAAAGCCCCAAACTCCTAAACCCTCAACCCAAAACCCTAAAGCCCCAAACTTCTAAACCCGCAACCCTAAACCCTAAAGCCCCAAACTCCTAAACCCTCAACCCTAAACCCTAAAGCCCCAAACCCCCAAGCCCTGAACGGCAGGGCCGGCCGGAGTGTCAAATTCAGAAGGGCATGCCAGCGCTGCAGCTCAGCGCCTACTGTCGGATTCCTGGCCAGAACATTTGATGGTATAAATCCTGCATTACCTTAAGGACCCTAAAGGGTAATGCAGGGTTTATATCATCAACCGGAAGCACTTATCCTAAGGGTCCAAGTACCTAATAATCATGTACAGAAGCACTTACCCTAAGGGTACAAGTACCTAATAATCATGTACTCTCCCAAATGGTAACCTACATAACTACTATCCTAAATCCACGTACCTGATTATTGGGGGTTCTAGGCTAGTAGGGCTCTTCGGGTTTAGGGTTATGGGTTTAGGGTTTAGAGTTGAGGGTTTAGCGTTGATGGCTTTTGGGGTTTAGAGTTTAGGGTTAAGGGTGTATAGGGTGCAGGGTTTAGGGTTCGGGGTTTAGTTTAGAGCGTAGGGTTTAGGATGGTTTAGGGGTTGCTAGTATTTAGAACCGGGTTCTGGGTTATGTTAACCATAGTAATTCCGTGAAGCACCAAAGCGATCATATGGCGGCCTTAAACATTAGAATACGGTTCCTGAAACGGTTACTATATACAAGAGTTGCTAGAAGGGTTTGGTTTGGGGGACTTTGTGGCTAGAATAGGGTTTTGGGTGGCACGCTTTGCACGATAAGACTATCGCCCTTTCTGAAAGGGATGTTACTACCAGTCTTTGAACTTACATCAACCAGCTACAACAGTTATTGTACGGGTTTGGTGTAGTGAGGGTTATTGTTACCCTAAGGTTCCAAGTGGTCCTCAGTTATCGTTGTTGCTACCTGGAAAGGTCCTAAGTTCCTATAATGGGTTTTTACTTAAACCCTAAACCTTAGACCCTTAAGTCCTAAACTCTCTGGGTACGGTCTGGAGGGATGGTAATTATGAGCCTGTAGATTCATGCAGCCACAGGGTTTTGGCTTCAACTCTTTGGAACATTATTCATTAGGGTTCCTGAAGTTTACAGCATGCTCAAAACCCTGTTCAAATGATTAAGGCCCCCCGCGCAGTAGTCATATACGGCAGGGTGCCCGAACCCTTAACCCTGAACCCTACGTATGAAGCCTAAAACATGAACCCAAATCCTTAAACTCCAAACCCAAACGCGCCAATCCGAACCCGAAACTCCAGAGCCGTCCACAGTGGCGAAACCTCTGAGAGACAGGAACTGACGCCCTGCAACAAAAACTCGAAGCTCTACCCAGAGGCTCCATAGTAGTTCCTTTTTGGGAGAACCCTATAGGATTGAAAAAATGTCAACCCCAAAAGGAATTACTATGGAGCCTTAAGGTAGAGACACCAAAGATCTGAATGCCCATTGCGCCCTGCTCCCCAAGTTTACCCCCCTCTCTCGTCGGGAACAGAAACGCACCCCTGAGCTTAGTAAGGAACTGCGATGTCATGAAGCTGCTTCTTTCGGCCCGCGCCGCAGTCAACGACACCGACTGCCGTGGTGCGACGGCCTTGTTCCTCTGTCTGTTCGGTTTGCGGTTGGGGTTTGGGTGTCAGCGTTTAATGTAGGAACCTGATTAAGCAGCCCTGGGCCTATAACCCCAAAATAGTAGGCTTCATAGAAGGATCCCTCATAAAGGCCCAAAGTTTCTTAACCAGGTTCCTACATTAGGGCTTACGGTTTGGGCGTCAGACCCTAAACCCTAAACCCTAAATCCCTAAACCCTAGACTCCAAACCCTAGACCCTAAACCGTTTGACTTGAAGGGTGGGGATTCTGGTCCCTGTGCCGATGGTTTTGTTTTTCCTGGATATTCGGCCTTGAGGGTGTCATGTAGGGGCCTTGACAATTAGACTAGAGTTTGGGGGGCCAGTATGCTATAATTGTAATAGGGAACCCTAAGGAAAAATGTTGGTAATTATTTAGGCTTCTAGAACCCTCAACTTTTGACCCAAAGTGCAATGACCCAAAATCTAAACCCTAAACCCCCTAAACCCTAAGCCCTAAACCCATCCTAAACCCTAAACCGTCCTCTTTAGGGCTCCTTATTATGATCTCCTTACATATGTCCTTAAAAGGGTAGGTTATTCCGGTTTAAGGTAAACCCTAAACCGTTCTCTTTAGGGCTCCTTACGATGATCTCCTTATATAAGTCCTTAGAAAGGTAGGGTATTCCGGTTTAAGGATTTATGTTAACCTTAAACCGTCCTCACCGTATCTGAGGCACTGGGCCATGATCTCCAACACGGTCCAGGGCGTCCGCATTCTCTGCGAAGCAGGTGCTAGGGGTTTAGGGTTTAGGGTTTAGGGTCTAGTCGTTGAGACGGGGCGGTGGGATCCTTAAACTTACCCAGAAGAGGTCCCCTAAATGAGGGCCCTTCTACTCAGGATCCTTTGTTGCTTTTGCTTTCCGGGTAGCCTCCCCTAAAGTTCCTTTAGTAACTAATTGGCTGTAAACTCAACTTTTCAACTTTTGGGGTTCTTATAAGGTAGTCGATTCTGAAAGTTTCAACTTTTATTTCCTTGGGTTTTGGGCCAGTGAGGTAACGGAAATTACGGGACCTTTACAAAATCCTGGAGAACCCCTAGAACCCTAAGATCTCACGCTGTTTCTTGATCTAGGACCCAGAGTAGGCCATAATTCCCTTTTTTGAGGCTTAGGTTCCCTTATAAACCCCCTTTACACCAAAAAGGGCACCCTTTTTATTCCTAGGTTACTCTTAGGTCTAGTGATTTTGAGATCACGGAAATTCTGCCCTGAGGGATTCGGAGTTCTGCGTTTGTGGCATGGACGTTGGAGGGTTTGAGTGGGCTCAAGGCTCGGTGCTTCAGTGTTTGGTGCGTTTAAAGGGGTTGCTATACAGGCTACTATAAGGGCTCCTATATGGGCGATTATAAGGATGTATACTATTTTTGGGGTCCCTTCTTATAATTATAGTATAACGGGTCCCACAACCCTCTTGCAAGTATTAAAGCCCCTATATTAGAGGGTTTGGGAATCCAGGACTTTGGCTTCAGGGCAGGTGCCTGGTCAAGAGTTCAAGTACGTACAACATTTAAGGCCAAGAGTGTGGGGCACAGAGGCCTTATTCTGCTTGTTTATAGGGTAGTTACGAAAGAAGTGGGCTCTGGTCGCACAGTGGTGAGCATGAAAGGCTCAGCAATGGTAAACAGCAAAGTAAAGGGTATCGGCATGGGATTTAGGGTTTAGGGTCTACGGTTAGCAATGGTTCGTTTAAAGCTGCAGCCAGACAGTTGCCCCATCGTTATCAGCTCCATGCCTTTTAGGTAAAGTAAGACCTGATCCTGGCACCAATCTTGAGTCTCTGCTCCAACCTCACCAAAAAACCCAACACCCTTGAACGAACCTAGAAATCCACGAGGTGCTGACGCCGAACTGGCCGCTCGCTGATGTTGGGTGGGCTATAATGCGGTTGATGATATAAATCCTGCATTACACATAATAAGGAATGTACCATAATTCTCATAGTTTAGGGTCCTTGAGGTAATGCAGGGTTTATATCATCAACAGTAGGGTTTATCAGAAGCCTTAAGTTTACAATGACAGGGGCTGGTTGGGGCATCCAGCAAGCTCGGAATTCTATGCAAGAGCCCGAAATATTCGATCCGAATCATCAGAATGACACGGACAATCTTCCGGGTAATATTCTAGTGTGGGACGCTTTCCGCAAAGAAGCATGCAAGGCCGCCACCGCTGCCCTTTCAGCATGAATCACTGTCGCCATTGCGCTTGACTTCCAGCCCTAAACCCAAAACTTTAAACCCCAAAACCTGAACACTAAAACCCTGGACTGGACCCTAAGCCCTAAACCCTTATACCCTGTTCCCTGAGCCCAGATGATCCGGCGACCCTGCCGCTGAATGCCGAAACCATGAACTTCCAGCCCCTACCCCTCTGAGACCCAAGCCCAAATAAACCGCAAACTCTGAACCTTAAACCCAAATAAATTGAAAGATACTATAGGGGCTTAAAGAATTACCAATACGATTTTGGGGGGTTCCTGATTATAACTATAATATAATAGGCCCAAAAACCCTGTTCCAATTGTGAGGGCCCCTATAGTACAGCCCGGAGCAAAACCCAAATCCTAAAACTACCTTGTAGAGCGCTTACAATGGAAGCTAAACCAAACCCCTTGCTGAGATCAGCCTCCTCAGACTGCATCAAACATGAGTTTGAGTAAGACACCCTAAAACACTGCACAAAAAACTTACAGCAGTTTGCAAAACCTCCACACCATGGTCAAAAACAAACTAAACGCCAAACCCAAAGCTTGCTGAGATCAGCCTCCCCGCCGCGGCCCCCCTGGCGTGCACTGCGCTTGGCTCGGCAGACGCACTTCAAGAGCTGCTGGCGCAAAGGAGCCGGGTTTGGGGGTGGCCTTCTGTGTATCCTATGGCCCTATAGGTAGTGTTAGGGAGACCCCTTAAAGGGGACCCTTCTGTTAAAAGGGACCTCATTGAGAGGCTCCCCCAATCCCAACTCGCAGTACAGGGAGCCGGTTTTCTAATTAGGTTTAGCGGTTTGAATGTTGTTTGCAATTTATTTTGTAGGGTTTCGCAGGGTTCTCACGGTGGGTTTTTCGGTTTCGTAAGCTATTTAGGTTTTCTTCGGATATTGCGGGGTGAGTCAGGTTTCTCGTGGGTTGCTGCAGAGGGGTTCAAGGGTAAGGTTTCGAAGTTTCGGGTATGGGTTCGTGTTTTCGTCTCGATCTGCCATGAGCTGATTCAAGCGCCGACTGATTTTTCGCGCACCTCCTGAAATATTTCGGTTTTGCGCAAGTGAGGTTTCAACATCTCGAACTCCCATGTCCTGGACATTCAGGGAGCGAGGTGCCGCTGGTGCAGAAAGCCGTGATCACGAAGCTGGTGATTGTGGTGATGCTCGCGATCTTAGCAATCATTCTGATAGAGCCTAATGGAAAGAAGTGACCGCGAAGTGACACCCAAACCCTCACCCTTAAATCCAATGACTTCGTTCTTGAAAGCCTGCAAGATCACCCCCAGCACCTTCAAATCTCCCTGCTCTAAATTTTAAAACAAGCCAGCAACCAAGAATAGCAGCCTCTACGAATACTTGCCGGTGCAAGAAGCCCCAAACCCCCTGCACCCAGGCACACTGCAATTACAGGTTGTAGGAGTTACAGTAATACATCACTGCTACATGCCTTGATATAGAAGTGATGATAGTGATGGTCGCGGTCACGTTCGTAAGGCTGAGAAACAGTTACAGTTTGCAGGCTGACAACAGCAACAGTCGCAGCAGCAGCATGCAGCACAAGTCTCACAGGCCATGTTGGTGCCTTCCTGCTTCACTGGTACTAGTGCCGCTGGCCAGTGGCATTCATATTATTCTCGGAAGACTTGCCGGAGACCCCAGCGAATCCCGCTTTATCTGCATGCAGTATTTGCACCCTGTGTCCCCGAACACCACAACCTAAGCAAAAAGGAGTTGCTGCTTCGGCTCTTAGCCACTCTCAAGCCTAGAACCTCAAAGCTAGCACCGCCCCAACAATCCTGCCCAACAATCCTGCACCTGGCAATACGAACATCCCTGCTGAAGTGCAAACACAGTTGTAAAGTCTACATAGGCTTGGCACTTAGGTGTACACAGTTCGTAATGAAAAGGGTCCATGTACCCATACAATATATACTTTGGCCCTATGTAGGACCCCCTTCAACACTAGGTGAATACTCTAAAGGTACATGGACCCTTACGGCAAGATTGACATGTCCATGTCCCAAAGGTCCCATATAGGCCCCCTTTATAAAGAACCCTTATAGATCCCATTAAACCGAAATCTAGGGTTCTAAGTTCAGTATAGTGTAGTGTCCATTTCATTTGGAGGACCACGCTGAATTTAAAGGATGCCTTGCACTTCAGCCTCATGTTCCGCCCTCTCGTCGCAGAAAGGGGAATAGGGCTGGGGGTTATAGCTAGCCGGTGTAGGGTGTGCGGATTTTTGGTGCAGGGTTTTCGGGATTTGGGGCTTCAGGGACTTCAGTTTTCAGGTTTTGTGCCTTCGGTTGCAGGATTCGTCGTTTCAGGGTGTCGAGTTTGGGAGTTTTTGCCCCCGAAGCATCTGACTTTCGGAGCGGAGCCTGAGAGGTTCCGAAGCCACACCCCGGAAGCTTTTCTAGGACCTAGAGTAGGCCCTTATTCCCTTTTTTAAGGTTCAGGCTCCCTTATAAGCCCCTTTAAACCAAAAAGGGCACCCTTTTTATTCCTAGGTTACTCTTGGGTCTAGTTTTTCTGAGACCAAATGCCACACCGAAGGTTTGGTTTGCTACAGGCCACGTTGCGGAGTCAGAAGGGGCTATGGTGCCTTTATGTCTTTGATTTGTCAAGCACCCTAAACCCTAAACCGAATACAATCCCAGACGTCGAAGTCCGTGATTTTGGTAGCGAGGCTTGTTTTTCTTGTGTACTGCAGCTCCCCAAACCCTACGCACTCAACCCTCTAAACCCTTGTAGCAATCCGAAGTTCGAGAACGCTCCCTAAACCCTAAAAACCCCAAACCCCTAAACCCCTTAAACGTTCAGCGGGGTGTCCAGTCCAGTGTGGGTTCATGGCTTCCGGGTACTGAAGTATTCGGCATTAGTCCTTCTGTCAATCACCAGTGATTATGCACTTGGGATAGAAGTTGTGATACGGTTGATGATATAAACCATGCATTACCCATAATAAGGAATATGCCATACATAGTTTAGGGTCCTTACGGTAATGCAGGATTTGTATCATCAACCGTAGCAGTTGTGTAGGCTGGTATTGTATGTAATTGTTCTGTCAGGTACTTGAACCCGGTAGGTCGAGGGTAAAACCCCCAAATCCGAAACCCTATAAAAGGAATCCTTAGAGCAAAGTTTGTCAGCCTTTAAGGAACCCGATAAAGGTTTTGTCCGCAGTTGAGGTTCTGGGGCTTGTTCAGCGTTTGTCTCCCTTTCGCACAGTGGCCTGCGAACTTGAATCTTGAAGTTGGACACTCAATCTCGGCCCGAAGCCCTTAACCTCAACCCGAAATCACTCAGGTGTACTCTATTTTAAGTCTGATATGCCACAAACACTATAATAATGATTGACCCTACAGACACCCACATCTTGATGGCACGCAGAACCCTAAATGCTCCAAGGCAGCGGTGTGAAAAGCGTGTCCGTCCTGTTGGAGGCGGGTCGCATGTTTCATTGACAGCCGCCTTTCTCTATCTTTCCCTAGGACCTAGAGTAGGCCCTTATTCCCTTTTTTGGGGATCAGGTTCCCTTATAAGCCCCTTTAAACCAAAAAGGGCACCCTTTTTATTCCTAGGCTACTCTTGGGTCTAGTTCCGGTTTGATTCGAACCTCCCAGGCCCCACTTGGACAACTTCTTGCCCAAAGCTGTTGAAATCTGTCGATGTCCCCCTGAAACCCCAAGCCGTAGACATAGACACTCAATACGAAACTAATATATCCAAAAGCCGACCTGCCAAAACCTCACAAAAATCGTGCACGAGAGCCACCAACACTCACCCCCCGTCAAGGAAATAACATCTACATGTATGGTTTATGCTTACTGTGCACTTGCACCTATCCATGCATACATACCTACCCTCTTTGTTAGCTACCTAGGGTTTTAAGGTAAGTTTAGGGTCTAGGGTTTAGGGCTTTTCTTAGTTCGGATAGGGTTCTGGGGGTATCGCGTAGTCCAAACGTGATAGTACAAACATAATATAGGGAACCCTAAGGCAGAGCATTCGTACTTGCTCGGGCTATAGAAAGCTTTGTTAATGGAAACGGCACCTGTCAGAGGCTGCGCGATTTTAAGGGTGATGTTTGACTCTTTTGGGGTGCGAGGTGGGGCAGGTGCCGGGTGGGGAGCTAATTACGTCCTCATGCTCGTGCCCATGCCGCCTATGCCCACATGTGCGTTTCGCTCGGGTTTTGGCCACGCCGAATTGGCCAAAAACTGTGCCCAAATGGAATATCGTGTTGCTCTCCTCCGCAAAGGCCTAACACCCCATCATAAAGAAATGAAGCAACAAGCTGTATAGGGTATTCTGCTGGCAGGGTGTAGGTCTTTATGTATGAGTTTTAGCTCAGACCAAACCCTGAACACAGGCTTTGGTACTTCGGATTTCGATATGATTTCGATGACACTGTCTATGGCGTTTAGCTGCCTACTGCAGAGTGGAAGCATTTGAGCTTCTACATTAGAAGCTATCTTTCTGTGCATGTATGTCGGCAGGTACGTATGTACATATGTATGTATGTATGCATGGTGCATATAGGCAGGTTGGTAGGTAAGTTGTCATAAAGTAGGTCGGTAGGTAGGTCGGTACGCAGGTAAGTAGGTAGGAATGTAGGTAGGCAGCTAGGTAGGCACCTGACTAGGCAGACAGGCATGGCTGCGCCAGTTGGACCCGTCCAGCCTTCCGCCCGACGAGTACGAGTGGGTTGACGTGGACCCTCCGCTTCCCCGACCGATGCAGGAGCACGGTCCGTGGTCCAAGCGCGCAGGTTGGAGGATGAGAGTTTGTATCTCACAGAAGCAAAAAGTGCTGACAGTGGCTCTGTCGATTGTGAAGCCAAGAATACGGACGAGGGGGGTGAAAAATGCGCCAAGAAGAAGAAACAGAAGATTGAGCGAGCCACAAGCAAGTCTATGCTTCTTCTGCCGGAGCGTAACCTTAAACCCCAACACAAGCCCCTAAACCCTAAAACGCTCTAGGCTCCCCAACTGCCCTGTGATGGCTTATATAGCCGTTTTTCATGGCCATAAGGACTCCATTAAAGGGGCCATTGGGGGTCCTGTTAGGCTCTTTCATTACACCCCATGGAAAGAGAGGCGCCAAAACCCTAAAGGACCTCGTTAAAGGACCCCTTAAAGGAACCCTTAAAGGACCTCTGAAAGGAGCACTGTAAAGGACCCCTTTGAAGGAACCCTTAATTAGCCTTAATGGATCCCTTTCTTTGACCCCTTATCAGCATGGAAGGAACCCTTAAAAAGGAACACTTTAAAGGAACCCTCTAAACCCCTTTGAAGGAACCCTCAGCCTTAATAGATCCCTTTGATTGACACCCTCAAAGGGGAAAAGGAGGGACCCTTAATGGGGACCCCTACCCTATAATGGGCTATATAATGGGTATATAATAGCTATATTAAGGGTATATACCTAGGGGTCCTTATTAAGGGTCCCTCCTTTTGCCCTTGGACTTAAACCCATTTTTATAACTCTTTAGAGGAATCCACGCTAAAGGAACGCTTAAAGAAACCCTTAGCCTTAATGGAACCCTTAGCCTTCATGGATCCCTTTAACTGACCCCCCTTATCGGCATGGAAAGAGAGTCCAGAGACTCCAATATCCCTTAATTAAGGAATATACCTTAAACTATAGTAGGATCCCTAATATGATTTAAGGAATATCCCCTAATAAGGGGTATTGGAGTCTCTGGGAGGCCCGGGCTGATCCGAACCAGCCGCTCCAGCCAAGCTTCGGCTCCAGCTGGTGGAGAGTGCTCCAGGCTCCTTCAGTAGGGTTTTAGGGTTGGGTTTGGGGTGTAGGGTTTAGGGTTTAAGGTATAGGGTTTAGGGTTTAGGGTATAGGATTTAGGGTTTAGGGTCTAGGCTCCTTCGGTAGGGCTTACCCTAACCCTAATAACCTACCTGTTTTAGGGCTCCTTATTATGATCTCCTGGTTTAGGGTTGGGTTTGGGGTGTATGGGGGGTAGGGTTTGCGAGCGGGTAGCCTCGTGTAGCTCTGGCCGAAGAGGATGGCAGTACTCGGAGGTCGCAATGGCGGGCTCTAAAGGAGGGCTCACTAACGAGGCCTCTACGGAGTCCTGGGCAAAGACCGGACGTGCCTTTTGATCCACTCGTGGCTTCCGTAGTCGCTGCTCCAGGGCCTGCGAGCGAGACTCATGTGAAACGTGCAAGCCCCGGGCTCCCCCGCCCAGGACTTTGAGTCATGGAACTTCTGAAAAACGGCAAACAGACAATCAAGAATCTTTATCAGCATCTTCAGAGGTAGCCTGTGACAGCGGTTGTAGCCCAAGCTCTCGCCGTCGACGTGCGGAAAGCATCCGCTCGTCCTCCACGATGCGCCAGTGCTGTCGCATCTTGTAGTAGAGTTCCAGTTCTCGTAGCCCATTCTCTTTCGTCAGACTATTCGCAAGCTGGGCCTCTGAGTGGACCCAGCGGATGATCACATTGGTGCGCCTTTGCGCTTCTTTCAATCCCAGCAGTTCTATGCTGGTCCGTTTCTCAGCACCCTTCACCACGACGACCTCGGAGGTCATCTTGTCGTAGACGTTCCGGCTGTCTGTGACAAGGCAGCCTGATGTCTTGTTCACCAGCTCATCGGGACGGCGTAGGTCATGGCATCCATAAAGTAGTTCGGCCCACTGGTACCGCGCGTAGTACAAGTTGTCTTCGCCGTTGATCGCTGCCAAAGCTTCTGAGGCACCAGGGCTCCTGCACACTCGGTCGATCTTAGACGAATGCCATGACATCAAGGACACTCCACAAACATCACCGTCGAGTAGGCTCAGTGGTGCCATACCTATGACAATGCCCTGGGTGCTGCCTCCACTCTTGCGGCTCTGAGAAGCCGCGTCCACCCATGCCACTAGTCCCAGAGGAGTCTCTGGATCGAAGGCATGGATCAGCAACTTGTGCTCCGATCGTGCCTTAGCATGGGAGAGCAAGATGTTAGCGCGAATGATAGTGTCAACGGTGCTGTCACTGACCTCGGAAAGGAGCAAACTAACATCTGCACTAAGGTGCGGGGAGACTTGTTGGGCGTGCCAACTCAGCCCTCCCAGTAACGCCCGCAGCTGCGTGCGCTCTCTCTCAGTGGTCTTTCCACTGCGGTCCTTCCGTCGCGAGGCACTCACTCCAATCTCACTCAAGTTCTCAAGGTATTTTGGTTGAGACAACTCTATACCCTGGTTCGTGGTTTCGACGAGAACCCCACATTGCGTAAAACTATCTTCTTCCCAGTCACCCCAGCGAAACTGTTCTCTAATCTGCTGCAGCACAGACTGCCATCCGCTGTCACTTTCCTGCCCTCCAAAAATGAAATCGTCAACATGAGCCGAAATCATTCCTTTTAGCTCGCCGCCACTTCGGTAGCACCACACACAAGAGTCAGAGGCCAAACGTTCGAGGCCTATGCTCTCAAAGAAGGTGTTCACTGTTCTGTACCACTCTAGTGGGGCGTCCACTAGTCCGTACACTGCACGCTTGAGTCTAGTGACGCTCTGTTCGGGAATGTTCATAGCTTGGCAGATTTCCTTGGTGGGGATGCAGAATAAGGTGTCTGGGTATGCTCGTCCTTGAAGAAAGGCGCCGCTCACGTCGCCCTTTCGAAGTTTCCAGCGCTTCCACGCAGCCATCTGCAGGTGCATTTGGCGTGACTGTCTGGTCATGACAGGAGCGGCTGTGCGGCGATGTTCGTAGCTCGGGTCTTGATACCCTAACAGTACTGCTCTAGCCTTCGCCTTCCGATCTCCATTGTCTTTCAGCTTCCATGTAAGTATCCACCTCATATTCACAGCCTGGTCCCGGCTTGGCTGAAGATGAGCAGGTAGTGCTTCGAAGGCGTCTGCTGATATGAAGTTCTTGACCTCAATCTCCTTTGCCGCTCTAAACTCCTCCTGTTCAGAAGGTGTTAGGCGTCGCTCGGACACTTCCACTGCCTGGCGGCGTAGCTGACCCACAAAGAAGCCCTCGAAGTTGTTGGCCATCTTGATAAGTCCTCGGTGGCTCGGCGGGAGCTCCACTTCCACCTCGACGGCGGCTGCTTTGTCGGTCCAGAAGCTGCTCTCTTCCTTTGGCCAGGCTGCTGAGGGGATTGTACTCCACCAGCACTCGCCTGGTTCCACTTGCTCCGTGAAACTCGCTTCCATGCGGGGTCTCTGGACTCGTGATGAAGAAGCGGCCTCTACGCCCTGCATGTGGTGGTCCCACTCCTCATCCATCTCTGGTTCCGCTGGCGGGGCTCGTTTGAGCCGTTGTCTGTAGCGCGTAGGGGGTACTTCTTCGGTGACGTCCTGAGCGCGCCGCCACTCTGTTGTGTCTGGCACGTCGCCAGAGAGGTCCTGGAACTGGTTGCCCCCGATGGAGGAGGCCACTCGTGTAAACGTCCAGGGAGTGGCTTGGCCTTGTTGGCTAGCTAGCCCTTCCAAGAGCTCCTCTCGTTCAGTAGCACGTCTCAGCTGCTCTGGTGCGCATTTGATCAAGGACCGACCCCTGACCAGCCACACAGCTCCGCCCGGGGAGAGCTCTCCGTCCTTGGATTGGCGGGTTTCCGTCGCCAAGATACGTGCTGGGCCCAAAAACCGGCCCTGTTTCGTGCCGGGTTGACGTCGTCCTTGTCCTGACTCTTGGGAGCGCCAAAAGAAAACCAATTCTCCAGGAACGTAGTTGTAGCAAGGTCGATGCCGGGAATTTCGGGCTCGATTGAGCCTTTGGCGCGCATGCCACTCGGCGTGCGCTTTCTCGGCCTCTGCTCTTCGCTCGGTAGCTCGCTGGAACTCGCCAACAGGGTTCTCCACTAGAAGGCCTGGTGGCAGACCATTCCCCGCTTCAAGAAAACGGTCTGTCTCGTCGGCGCCTCGGCCCAACACATGTTGGGCTGGGGAAAAGCCTCGGACCAAATCACGATGGTTGAAGACAGTGGTGGCTTCCGCTAAAGCGCTCTCGGTGGAAAGCTCGGGGTCGTAGGTGCAGAGTCGTGTCATCAACTCCTTGACCCCTTGAATGGCCTGCTCACACGACCCATTCTTCCAATGGGCTTCGCCAGGAATAATATCTAAGTACACTCCATGTTTGTCGCAATAGGAATCGAAGAAAGCTCGCGAGCGGAACGATCCCGCTGGATCCACACGGAGGGCTCTGGGGTGACCGAAGTACTGTCCCCATCCCTCTTGAAGATACTGGATGCAGGCATTCGCAGTAGGTTGTTGCTTCGATCCGCGAGTGAGCACTCTAGCAACCCTGAACCTCGAGCCTTCGTCTATGACAAGCATGAACTGGACTGCTTCTTTACTGTGGGGGTGTTCCCAATGGCCCACGTCAGCACTGATAGTGCTGAACTTCGGGGGAAGAGGTTCCAAGGTGGCTTGAGCTCTCGGAGGGGGTTTACTGCGTTCAGCACAAACAGGGCATGAGAATTCCTTGGCAAGTTCGATCACTCGGGGTGGGGCTCGCCTTCTTTGCAGCGCTTCGACAAGATGTTTGATGCTACCGTGACCAGATGCGCAGTGAAGAAGATACAATTGTTTTCGAATCCGTTCATCTTGGAGCCTTGGGGTCCTGGGATCTTGTGTGGTTCCATCACTAACAGGATTCACCGCAAGGGCCTGTGGGCTTTGTTTCGTAGGTACCCGAAAACCCCACTCACGCAGCTTCCGAAGCTCCGAACTCGAACACTTGTCCAAACCCCGAGTCACATAAGCAGTAAGAACCCATCTCTGACCCTTCCAGGCACACGTGCCATGCCACAGTTTAGGCTGAAAGAGGTAGGGCTTGTGGTGAATGTCAACCTTGATTCCTGAAACCCTTTCGCCTCCAATATTCCTAATCTCAAGAGTCCCCGTATCCGAATCCCGAGACCCTTCAAGCCACAACTCTCCTCCAGAATAATCCCCTATACCCACGCTACAGTTAGGATATGTTTCATCGTTGTTGATGTCCTTGTGGAGTGGAGCAGTCGAGTTGGCGTTCAGGGTGAAGGCCGACCATTGGTAGTCTTTTGGGACTCGCTGGGCCAGAAACTGATTTATCATCCTAACGAACTCTGGGTTGTCCACAGTACGACGGGTCAGTCCGTAGTGGTTACCAAACGCATAGGAGCCGTAGGTATGATAGGTTCCATGGGTGTGATCGATCATGTTCCTACCCGAAGCCTTTCCGCCAGGAGGGTTTTCCTCTAGATACGCTTCGAGGTCTTTGTAGCCTAGGGTACCTTTGAGGCTCAAGGCTTTCGCTTTGGCTTCAGGTGTTTCACTATCGGGTCCGTGGGATTGAGCAAGCAACGCTGTGGAAGTTCCGTCTGTCCTTTGGTCCTGGGTGCTTGTCTTGGGTTGTTCGGGGTCCCTAGTGTTTTGGTCTTCGTAAAAGGGGACAGCATCACGGGTGAGGAGGCAATTTCCGCAGTGGAGCGAGTGCTTCTGAAGGTAAGCATCCCCACACCCACAAATCTCCCCTTGACCGAATCCCTCCGGCAACGAACTAGCACCCTGACACTCCTTGACGATCCCTGAAAAACCGAACTCCTCCTGCAAAGCTTGGTGGACCAGGCGCGCAAACTCGGGTGTATGCTGTATCGACTCTCGTCCCGCTGAACCATTTCCCTTCTCGTGAACATAGGAAGGATCGCATCTACAGGGTTTGTGCATGACAAAAGCCAATCGCTGATGGGTGGTGACTAAGCGCCATCCCTTCATAAGAAGCTTCCCTTGCCTACCTTGAAGACCAACCGCGCAACCCTTAACCGTAGCAACACTCAAACCCATGCCATGTTGCAGCTCCTGGAACACGGGGAGTCTCCAAGCTTCGCTGTTTTCGCTCATTTCCACCGTACAGTGGATTCCCATGTGTAAACACACTCTCATGATTTCTCGCGCGGCGTGATAGGTCGCTATTGCTTCCTCTCTCTTCTCTCTCAACTCTCGGACCTGTTGGGAATCTCTCTGGTTAGCACGCTGCATAGGGGAGTATGGGGACCCTGGGACCGTGATCCACACATGTTTGGGATTGAGACCCCTGATTTGTTCCACTGCAAGCTGAAGGCCGTGAGTGGTTCTCATGTCACTCAGGGCGCATCCGTGCCAGACGCAGCACCTCGAAGCAGCATCGACATCACTTCCCTTCTTTTGGAACACTTGAGTAAGCATGCTGTTCGGGGCACATCCTATCTCAAGCAGGTCAGGTCTCTCCTGTCCTACCAATTCATGAAAGGCCCTGGGAAGGATTCGGCTCGATCGGTGCTCTAGGGCTCCGGCGGCAGTGTCTGAGAGAACTGTGGTGGTAGCTGACATAGCTTCCACGGAAGATCCCGAAGTCGCCGAAGGCGACATGTCCCCGCCGGCGGGGCTCATAGCCACATTGACCCAGTCCTTCACTCCTTGTTCGCTGTGATCTTCCTGGGTCGCTCGGCCCTCATCTGAGCCACCTCCTCCTGGAGATCCCGGAGGTTGTTGGCCATCTGGATCAGGAGCTCGTCCCGGGGATCGGGCTCGCGACTCGTAGATGGCATCGAGGTTGATGGCTGAGCTTCGGTGTTCGCTTTGGTGATCTTTGAGGTCCGGCTCTTGGGCCTCGGCACTGACACGGGTTCCTTGCCGGTGGCCTTTGCCTCCTCCTCGATCTTGACAAGCCACTTGCTGAACCGCTTCAGGCGTTGACTGGCTTCCCCTTCGGCAGCAGTCGCAACCACCCACTTGCAGTAGTCGCGGTCCCTCTCGTAGGTCTCGATCATGGTGAGCTGGCTGTGCTTGCCGAAGCCCAGGTAGTCGTTGGGGTGTGGCTCGCAGCGGTCCAAAGCCGCCACCGTTGCCTTGCGCTGCATGGCGGCGATGGTGTCGTTCTCGCCCACCGTCACCCGGAGCTCGTCCTCCAACAGGCTGCGGAGGACACTCTTCTTCCGCGACGCCTTGTTGATCTTGCTCATGAGGTCCTCCAGCGGGGTCTTCCCCAGCGTAGTAGTCGCCAGGGCTGGCTGTTCCTCGGCCAGCTCGCTGATCCGCTGCTGGAGTTCCAGCTTTCCCCAATTCTCCGGCGCCTCCTCGCCCAAAGACCGAAGGTGAAGGATCAACTCGGACTTGTTGAGGCGGTCCATGATCGGATGGAGGAGCTGGGATGCCTGAGACGGGCAAAGCTGTGAATGTTTCTGAGCCAGGAAAACTGCCGACAGGATCACGAGGTGGTTCCTCAACATGTCGTGCTGCAGCCCTGAGGCTGGTCGTGGATTGTGAACTCACTGGCACGCTACGACATGTCGCTGCTGCCGCATCCGAAGCTGATAAAGAATCATCATTCACACACATACTAGCAGAATTGATCTCACTTTCAGAAGTTCCACTCTCTCCTACACTCCTAGGCTGATTGCACTTGACCTCCCCTTTTCCCCTAGGAACAGAATCGGGGAGGAGCTGTCCCTACAGTGAGACGTAGCTCTTCAAATCAGGCACTGGCGAGCTCGCGCGATGAGCATCTTGAAACAGGTCTTTCGTCAGTGATAAAAGTTGGTGTCCAGCGGCACTTCGCTGTAGCGGTATGATGCGGGTGTTGTCGAGCGCCGACAGCACCATGAGATCGTTGCGAAAATCCACTACAGCTCCCAGTGACCTGAGCGCGTCCACGCTCAACAGTATGGGACCTTGGCCGCAGTCCAGCGTATGGACCTGGACTTGTCCAGCCTGTCCTCCAGCCGTGACTCCGATCTTGCATGTGCTAAGACATTGGTTTTCCGAAGAATTTCCGAAGCCGAAGACAGGGCGGTTCTGAGGATCAAGGTCGCAAAGCCGGCTTGACCCATGAAGCTGACGGTTGCGGCGCAACAGCGCCTCAACTGCGGCCACGCTTCCAAGCGTTCGGGTCGCTCCACCATCAACTACAGCCATCCCTGCGGCAACTGCTTCTGAGGTAGTAGGGGCTGAGGGCGTTGTAGATAGGGCCATCTCCGTGAAATCCGAATCCTCTGCGAAACACACGAAGGGAGCCTGGTGGGTGGAGTCCGAGGTCTGGGCGCCATCATCGGTGTTGGCCGCCACCTGCTTGGTAGGGCAGTTCGCTGCCCTGTGGCCGATTTTTCCGCACTTCAAGCACTCCATCTGGCTGTCGTCTGGGGGTGGTCGATTTCCGCTGGCACTGCCTCGACCTTGGTAGCTTCCGCCTCGATAATCTGTCTGTTCAGCTTGACAGAGTGTTGCTTCATGCGTGCCTCCTTCAAGGTGCGCCGAGCGTTCTGGAACGCGGCGAAGGCCTGGTTCGTCTCCTGCTCGAGCTCGGTCATCATCGCGGCCTCATCCTCGTCGAGCTCCTCCGCGCCATAGTCCCCGGCGGTCCAGCCGCCGTCCGCCTCCTCGTACTCGTAGTCCTCGTCGAGGGTCCCGAGGAAGGCGTGGGATCGCCGGTGGCTGTCTTTCCGCCGAAGGTCTCCTTCAGGAAACTGGTTCCTCAGTTCTTGGGCCACTCGGCCCGGGCTGAAGTCTCCGCTAATGGCGGTCAGGACCAGATTCTTCTCGTTGCTGTCCAGAGCCGCGTCCATCAAGAGGTACCAGCCCTGGATGAACGCCGGGAGCACGTGCTCGTCCTCTATCGTCTCGATGGAGTCCCACGCGGAGGTCAAAGTAGAGCCTGTCCAGGATGTAGTGGACCACACCGGTCCAGTCCAGTTCCAGTTGGGATATCCCCACTCCCATCCGGATCGCTCCCAGCTCCACGCGTTTGAGCTCCATCCCCAAGACGATCCCCAGGAGGAAGATGGTCTCCGCTGGCTCCACGCGTCAGTCGCCGCTCCATCGGCGGCCTGGGTCCCGTTGTCCTCGTCATCATCATCCTCCGGAGGGTCCTCGGCCTCAGTGTTCTGACGGCTCCATCCTCCTGGTCCCCAGTAGCTCGACGCGTCACTGGCCCTGCGGCCTTGGGTCTGCGGCATCATCACTGCCTTGCCCCTCTGGTAGTGGGGCTGCACTCTCTTCAGAGCCTGGCTCACTCGAAGGAAGGCTTCGCTCTTCCGAGTGATGTAGTCGTTCATCGACTCGCCTTGGCGCCGTCGAGTCCCCTTGAAGTAACGACTCAACAGGTCCGTTACCTCGTTGACTCTGGGCTTTCCCAAGGCCTTGCGGAGGTAGTCCAGCAAAATGCGTACTCCGCCGACATGCGCCACTTCACTGGCTGGTTTCCCAGCCACCAAGCGCTTTGCCGCCCCCGATAGCTCCGCCATCAGGCGGGGGGCTGCCGTGTAGCGCTTGTTGTAGACCATGCCTTGCTCCCACAACAAGGCGGCCTCTTCATATGCTGTGAAAGAAGAGGCCTCCCCGTTCCACGATGGCACGCCCTCCCGAGATCGGGTGGTGCCGCCATCCTTTTCGCTATCACCGCTCATGTTTCTCGGCCCTTGCCGAGCCAATGTAGGTCCCTGGATCTCTCAGGAGTCCCTTCCTCTGAAGGGCTCCGCTACCATGCGAGCGGGTAGCCTCGTGTAGCTCTGGCCGAAGAGGATGGCAGTACTCGGAGGTCGCAATGGCGGGCTCTAAAGGAGGGCTCACTAACGAGGCCTCTACGGAGTCCTGGGCAAAGACCGGACGTGCCTTTTGATCCACTCGTGGCTTCCGTAGTCGCTGCTCCAGGGCCTGCGAGCGAGACTCATGTGAAACGTGCAGGGTTTAGGGTTTAGGGTTTAAGGTTTAGGGTTTAGGGTGTACCTCAACCCTGAATAACCTACCTGTTTTAGGGTTCCTTCGTATGATTTCCTTATAGATGTCCTTGAAAAGGTAGGTTATTCCGGTTTCAGGTAGGGTTTAGGATTTCAGGTTTGGGGTGTTTGGGGGGTGATATGAGTTTAGGGTTTAGAGCTTTAGGGTTGAGGACGTAGGATTTGGGGTGTATGGGGGTTGATATTAGTTTAGGGTTTAGAGCTTTAGGGTTTTGAATTTAGGGTTTAGGGTTTCAAGGGTCTGCGGTTTATGGGGTTTAGATGTTGTTTTAGGGGTTGCATGCCGCTTTTACTGTAGAATGCACCAGGTTTTCTCTTTTAGGGTTCTGTAGCATTTGGTACGGTTGATGATATAAATCCTGCAGTATCCACAATAAGGAATACACCATACTTCCCGTAGTTTCGGGTCCTAAAGGTAATGCAGGATTTATATCATCAACCGTAGGTTTCGTGAAGGAGGTGCTCCTGGGGCGTGCAGGGCTTACATCTGGTCATGGTTGTGTATAAGGACCTTGCGGGTGCAGAAGGGCCCATAAGTTAGAAGGGACCCCCACCCTGACTATAAGGATTATATGAGGGCCCTATTATATTCCTATAATACCACTGCTACAGGGTTGGGGCCCCTTCTAACCCGTAAGAGTGAAAAATGTCGGGAGCCTGTTGTGTTATAAACACGAAAAGATGAACATGGGATGTTCTTACTTGTGCTTCACGCCTTACAGAACATGTCTATGAAGGGTCGAGGGTTTGTTTAGGTTTAGCGCATAGGATTGGTAGCTGGGGTTCAGGGTTCGCGGTTGGGATTATTGAAACTACAGGGTGGAGGACGAGGGTCGGGGCTCCCAGGGTCCTAGGATATATTTGAGGCCTAGATCTCTTGGCTTTGGGGTTTAGGGGTTTAGGGTTTAGGGGGAATTACACGATGTGCAAGTGAGTTCATAGAAGTGTGTCAGATAGGCGTGCAGGTGCGTTAGAGGCCTTGATTCTCGATGGTGTAGTCCGAGAATTCGCCATCCATGAATTACAGTAGAAGCCCAAAAGTTGGAAACCCAATAGCCTCAATCCTCAAGAGTAATGTATAAGGGGATCCCAGGACTATTTGACCTTTATCAGGTTTCCAACTTTATGGAGTTTACTGTAAGGGGGTCGTTACACCCGTGGTCCGGTTGGCTGGCATCTCAGGGCTTGTGCGCTTGTCTCGGTTTTGGGATCTCGTACCTGGGTCAGGGCGTAAAGGTGCATTTTATCAAGGTCTGAAAGGCTCAGAGATTTAGGTTGATTTTGTCGGGGAGTTTCCGAAAAATATTGACCCTAACATAGTACCCTGAATAGTAGGATCCTTATTGTAAAATTATAAGGATCCAAACTAACTTGGCGTTCTTTTGGTTGGCTCTTGGGACTTTAACTTTTGGGTGTCTATATGAACCATAGTCAGGAGGCAGATGGTTTAACTTTTCGGAGGGGTTCAGAAGACAGCCAAGATAAGGTACCCCTAGCAACTCCCGTTTGGAGTTTGGTGTGGCTTCCAGGCTTTGGGTCGTGTGGGGTTTCGGGGCCTCCGGGCTAGTCGGGCAAGGTGGCGACATTTGCAGGGCTTCTGGGTTATGCGGCTTGGGAAGTAGCAGTTATGATTCAATTTCGGTTTACTGGAATCCGGGTAAACCGTAATTGCATCCTGGAAGTAGGGCGTCTTGGGATTTTAATGTCTGTGATGTTTGCTAAGACCCTACTCTTAACGCGTAATAGGGTGTTCATGCAGTTCATACATCTCTGCGTAAATGCCTAGCCGCATAGCGAGTAATACTCCCTCGCATAGTCTGTGTATACATGTACTACAACATACCCCAAGCACCTATTGCAACACTTTGGGCCTCAAAAGCCCTTGTCTAAATACCGTTTAGGGTCATGGGGTTCGGGTTGGGCTTACCGAACTTTTGTTTGAAGTTTAGGTGGGATCGGTCAATGCAAAAGGCCTTGCAGAATGTAAATGGGCTTTTCTATGTCCGGGTGTAAGGTGTGTAAGGCAACCCGCGTGCTTGTAAGTGTTTAACACTTTCCTAAGCCTTATCCCCTACACGCTCAATCAGCGTGAATATTTAGTGGTACTCTTCACGAGGGTTTGTTCTTACAATCACGTATTCTCATTCTTCAGAGCCTGCATTACAGGAGTAAGACACCTTGCAAAGTGGGGTTTAGTCCACATGGGTGGTTGTCAAAATTACGGTCCTTTTCTGGGTCCTTATCTTAATACGGCACCTAATATTTAGGGTGCCCAATTAGGGACCCCAATTTTGACAACCACCCACATGTCACGGGACGAGTCTCTCACCAGGGAGGCCCGTCTGGGAGAGATGCGTAGGTACTTGCTGTCAGCCTTGTTGGCACAAGGTACACCGCCCTTCTACGGTTAAGGTTTTAGGGTTGCAGTAAACCCCAGAAAGTTGGAAACCGGATTCAGGCCAACTAGTGCTGGGATTCCCTATGCATTACTCTTAAGGATTGAGGGTTTTTGGTTTCCAACTTTTGGTTCGGCTGCAGGTCTTGAGCCTAAGGCATCGCGTGAGAAGCTCCCGCTTGAGCGCCCTGGCTTTGGGTTTCCTCAGGGTTTTTAGTTTAGGGTTTCGGGTTTAGGATTTAGGGTTTGGGGTTTAGGCTTTAGGATTTAGGCTTTAGGATTTAGGGTTTAGGATTTAGGGTTTCAGGGGCTAGGATGTCGGGTTCACGTTTTGCTGTTTAGGAGCTAGGATTCAGACTCTATAGGGTTTTATGAGTCTTAACAGTTGTTCAGGCCTGGTGCGAGGAAACAGGGCGCCAAGCGGTGTCTTGAGGTTCTATGACAATTTTCGGGTTCAAAGGGAACTCCAGAAAGTTGGACTATGGATTAATGGTAGGATCCCCTAGAATTTACCTTAAAGGGGTTACGATAATGATATTCCAACTTTCTGGCTTCTACTCTACGATCATGGTGTAACAGTCGTTACGTTTGCAGGCGTTGGGGGGGTCCGGATTTGGGGTTCTGTCGTTATAGGATCCTTAAGGGAGGGGGGTTCAAGGGGGGAGGGTACTAGGGAACCTTAGGGAGCCTTAGGGAACCTTAGGGAGTACTAGGGAGAAAAAGGAACTATTGGGTTATATCCCTCCTTGGACCCCCCTCCCTTAAGGATCCCATAATGTCTTGTTGGGTGGGAGCTTTTTGGTCTTCAGATATGGGAGTTTCCCTAAATAGGGGACCCTAATATCGTACCCCAAATAGTAGGATCCTTACTATAAGGACCCCCAATAAGCCCTATTTTCGGAAACCCCCATATAGACTTTGGTCTGCTACCAGCACGGCCACGTTTAGATTCAGATTCGGTTATCATGGTGGCCTGTGCTGGTGATGATTTGGGAGTTGCCCTTGGTGCCTTGAGGGAACGTTTGGTTTGGGCCGTGGTAACATGGGTTGCCTCTCCCAACTTCTGGCGAGATTTTCGGTGTCCGGGCGAGTCCCCAAGCGCTCTCGAAAGAGCCTTACTGTGTTTATGGCTTGGCCAGGGCCCAGAGAGCCCAATACCCATTAATTAAAGAATATTACTTAACTCGTAATATGAAGCCCTATATAATTTAAGCCATATTCCTCAATTAAGGAAAATCACTTAAATTGAAATCATAATTTGAAGCCCTATATAATTTAAGCCATATTCCTTAATTAAGGAATATTACTTAAATTGAAATCACAATATGAAGCCCTATATAATTTAAGCCATATTCCTTAATTAAGGGGCCCCTTGGGCTCTCTGGGGGATTGCAGCCGCGCCCGTGTGGCCGAAGCCATTCCGATGAGAAGCACGAGCTCGCTGCTGAAAGGTCCCAATAACCAAAGGGGAAAAGGAGGGACCCTTTAAGTGTCCCTTTAAAGGGATCTATAGGGATGCTATAACGGTATAGGGTTTAGAGGTGAGCTCGTTGCTGAAAGGTCCCAATAAACGGAACTCCAGAAAGTTGGAATGTGGTTTCAGGGTAGGATACCCTATAATTTACCATAAAGGGTTTAGGATAACCATATTCCAACTTTCTGGCTTTTACTTTAACCCAACCCTACAATCAAAATGAAGCTGTACAACAAAATGTTCACGGAATTTGTGCGTCGGCCACTTCCCGAATGGTTTTTGATGTCGGCCAACCTTACACAACCAGAGCAAACCATCTCGATAAACCAACTTCTGCAACCCCCAACCCGCACCCCCCCCAGCTCCCAGCCCCCACCCAGTCCAGCCAAGCTCAGCCCAGCCCACCAGGCCAGACAGAGCCAGCCCAGCCCAGCCCAGCCTCCCGGCCCATCGACTCCGAAAACAAGTTTAAACCGAACGCCTGCGTGAAACGTTTCGCTCAAAACTTTGTCTCAAAACGTTATTGGCACCCAAAGCCTTAACAACTCCTATAAGCCCAGAGCCTTCAACCCTCAAGCAGTTGACTGAGTTGAGGCTCTTTGGCCTGCAACCATGCAGGCGCCACACCTCTCATGCAACTTGGCCAGACACAGTTGTTTCCTTGTGGAATGACGCATGTTTAGTAGCAAATAATAGTCGTCGTAGTAGTAGCAGCAGCATTAGCAGTGGTAGTAGTAGTAGTAGTAGCAGTAGTAGCAGCGTAGTAGTAGTAGTAGTAGTAGTAGTAGTAGTAGTAGTAGT